TTTTACAGCTATACTTTACTCTTGGCTTATTAGCTAAAAAGTCGCGTTAGGGTCATACGTTGGGTCAGAGACCATATATCTCTGCCCCATCCCTCCGGTTAATGATGTGGTGTTTGTGGTAGAAAAGACAGCAAATTTAGCGGCATATCTGGAAACATGGTAAAACTTCCCGTTATTTACCATGTTTTGCTGTTTTTTCCCTCATTTTGATGCATGTCTTTAATCACCTTCTATGAAAGTGTAATGGGTAAGAGTTACTCCCGTTCCCTCATCCCAAATAATATTTATAATTATACTAATATTATTAACAAAACTTAACACAACAATTACTAGAGATATATGGTCTCTGGTTGGGTCATGTCTTGACTGTATAGGACCGCATCGCGGCTCTCGGCTAGAAGGACCCCATCGCGGCTTTCGGCTACTTTGGGCTTAAATGCACATGTAAGCAGTCTTCTTTATTATTTTGAGTGAGTGAGTAAGGTTTTACGCTATTCTTAGCAATATTACCGCTAAATCACGGCCGGGACACCAGAAATGGACGGATCCAGGAACTTTCAATGCAAAACATTAACTTCATTTACAAAAAGAAGGGGGAGAAGAACCCCTCACACACACACATACACACCGATCCTCCAATGCGGCTTCACACAGTGTACCCATGTTAGGAATCGAACCCCGGTCTTCAGTATGAGAGAATGCTTTAACCTCTCGGCCACCCTACCGTCCCATGCAGCCATAATATAATAGCAGTATAGCTGGACTGTTGCTGAGTGCGGCGTCAAACTTAACTCAACCACTCACTATCGTCCCGTATCAGTTTTGAAGTCTTGATTAATTCTTAAATTTGCTGTTTAATTTAATCTGAAGGAAATATTTAAACCTACAAAAAAAAATATGTATGCTTAACAATTAGCTATCTCGACAACTGAACTTAGGAACTGATCTTCTATTGTGGTAGGGTACGCAGAAAGATGATACATACCACTGAGGGTGGATAGTGCCCAGCAACATTGATACAGTCCTGAGACCAATGCCCCCAATACCAATTATAGGCATTACAAGATACGTCTTATAATCACACCTCTATCTATCACTAAATGGAGTTATAGCTGGTTTGTTGTTTAAGGCCGCAATCAGCAATATTCCAGCTATATGGCGGCGGTCTGTAAATAGTCGAGTCTGGACCAGACAATCCAATGGTCAACAGCATGAGTATCAATCTACGCAAACTGGGATACGATGACATGTGACCACCCGATCCAGTTAGTCGCCTCTTCCGACAAGCATGGGTTACTGAAGACCAATTCTAACCCGGATCTTCACAGGTCACTTAATAGAGAATACAAATGTGTAATCACATATATAGAGAATACTACACGAGGTCTCATTACATACGAATTATACGAAACGAGTGTCCTTCCTATGGTGTCTGACCGAGCGAAAGCGAGGTCAGGTCACGATTTATTTATTACCCATTTATTACCCACGTTTTACATGCATTAAATTGACAAAATAGCGTATTTTTGTTAATATTTTGGTTTCAAACCGAAACCGGTTTCATAAAGAGGTTGCGAAAGAGTTTTGTACTGTAGTACAATATTTGCATGACGTCACACTGTAATGACGTCACTGCCTTGGTAACCGACGTCACGATTCATGTCAGTTGTCATCGCCTCGTACAGCCTCCTACAGTAAACGACTCCGTAGCACCCCGTTTCTTGGTTTGCAGTTGCTACATTCGGCTAACATCACTGGTGGAAACATTGCGTTTACGTTTTTCGACGGATATAATGTCTCAGTTCGACTCACAATTAAACAGCGACACGGCAACATTCGCGATGTTTACATTCCCACAATGCATTTAAGTTGTAGAATGAATGAATTCACGTGTTTATTATGAATGAAAACATAGTTACGTCAGAATGTGACCTAATTGAGAGGTCATCGGTTATCCAATCAAATCGTTAGAATCTCAGGTCAAGTCGTTACGACACAGGTCAACGCGATACGACACTCGTGTGACGTACGAGATTAGTATGCAACTACCCATACGTTGACCACGTGGGTAATAAAAAAACATACTTCCTGGTTTGTTTATCTAACAATAAGACGATTAACCGTATAAGGGGTATATGACCACAGCGGTCGCTTTGACCGTCTCAGGATTGGTCTCCAGCGTGCTTGTCAACAATCTTTATCATCCAAAACTGTTTTCCACAGGAGATATCGCTTGTGTGAGATTATACAATTATAGACTCTTGTAGAGGTCGATATTGGTTATTATTGACCTGAGTAAAACAATATCGACCTGTTTTTCTCAGGTCAATAAAAACCGATATCGACCTCTACAAGAGTCTATAATTGTTTTATTATATAATGAAAGAGAAACGGGTTTTAACATAAACTTTTAATGCACACACTGTGCCATCTATCCGAGTGATCTGATTGGCTGAAAAGTGGGGGAAGCCCCTTCGTACGGGATTCCTTGTCTATTTTTAGTAACCCAAGTCAATATCGTAATTTATCAGAAAACTCAAGTCAATATCGTGTTTTGTAGTCAATCATGTGACGGTCTTTTGACCAATCGTGGTACAGGAAAAATACTACCTATATAATAACATATGATATCTCCTAGGAGATATCGTTTTGACAGTAGATTTTGTACAATGCCCCAACAATGCTATGACGTCATCAACTTGATGACATCACGATGCTATGACATCGCTGCACTGCAGATCTAATGGTAGTACAGAGTTGAGAGATGTGCATTTTTCATTGAAAACTAATGAAGAATGATTTAGATGATAAATAGAATCTCACCCTCGTGTCTACTGTGTTCAATTATATCAACACTCGTTGATAAAGGTAAAAATATCCTCGGCAAGCCTCGGATATTTGTAACTTTATCAACTCGTGTTGATATAATTGATATCAGTAGACACTTGGGTGAGATTCTCTATATATTCACTCAAGCGGACCACCGGCGGAGTTACATGTGCAGTTAATATTAGCAGCTATATGGTAAACATATGGTATACATCAGTATGACATGTCCACAAACACGAGGGATAATATGTATAACAATCAAATGATTAATTGGAAATAGGAGGAACTTTCATAATTTCTTGATAAGAGAAAACACGGTGAATAGAGAGTGTCATTTAGAACGTGGTCAAATGTAACACGTTATTTTAGGGATTACAGATTCATGTACTTTTGTGTAGGTTGAGTCCCATCCGGGATTCGAACCCACACTTTCATAGTCAGGCACCTAATCGCCAGCACACAAAGTAGGCCATCTAACCCACTCAGCCACCGTAGCTTCCAAGAGAGGGATGGGAGAAAGTGTGATTCCAAATGTAACATGTGTTACAAAGAAAAGTGTTGTGGTCAAAGATTGTGCAAATTAGAGATGTCAAGCCAATCGTAGTAATGCTTATTCATCAAGACGGGTCGTGGGACCATCCCGTTCCAACGGAAAAGGAATCCGTCACAAGGTGCATCTGTATTACAGAATATGCACATGTGGTCTAATGCGAGGCGTGTAACGGGACAGTTGGTAAGGCTGGATGACTTTGTTGAAATATGTCATCATACATTTGTCCCGAAGATCGAGTTTCATGGTGTCAATAACCGGATTGTCTGGACCTGTCTTATTTACAGATCGCCGTTATAATTATTGCTGAGTGCGGCGTTAAACAACAAACACACAGCAGCCTCAGTACTTATTTGATTCATATGAAGCACCGCTTCTTCCCATTATTGAAAGATCCTCGTTTGTCTATCCCTACAACAAAATGATACGGTCGACTTGCCAGGCCTGACTACCGTAATATACCCACATCATGCCGCGACTCTTGGACTGCCCTGTCATAAGAATACTGCCACTTTATCGCTCCTTTGAAAAATAAATAAACCAGTATACATTAATTCAGTTGGCAGGCTTTTATTACGACATTGAATCAACACTCGTAGCTTTAATGCGTAGTGCAAATAGAGGCATCACCAATAATGGGAGGATGCCTATAATCTCAAGGTTGACTATGCCTAATCTCAAGGTAATTGACTGTTACACCATCGTCAATACTTAACGCTGCCTTGTACTATTTACACGTGTGCGTGTTTGAAAATAGAACTGGTTATTCCTACTTTAGAAACTGCATGCATGTCCTGGTAAAAATAAGTAAATTAATATCTAAAAAAAAGTCCCGTAAGAAATCTGGAAAACCCTGCCGATTATTGTGGCACATAAATCGACACGTATATATTTATTGCCATAAGTATAATAAAACAGACCCGAAACGAAATGTTTACTTTGTGCATAGGCTTTAGGTGGGGTGGGGTGGTGGTATCATTCACGTTATACATGCTTGCCCATAAAAATATAAAAGGTCCCTCATAGCGATGGCTGCGGCGTGAAACTAGATTCATTTTATAACTGGGGGCGGATTTAATTAAACCCCGTGATGTTAACATGTGACACAGACGTTAGCATATGATACGTAAACACATATATCGACATAACAGGCATAACATGTATCTACATGATCCATATGTGTTTATTTTTTGCATACATGTATCTATATCTTATATGACGGCTGAATGAATAACGGCATCTCTCGATCTTCCTGTCTTCCAGTCCACTATTCATTTTGTATCAGTATATAAGTGTGTTTCACGTGATACACACATCGTCTGAATTACAATTATCGCATTGGTTGTTTCTAATAAGGAGGCCTTGAAATGTGACGTAAACATTACATGCAGTAAAATCCCTATTTATGAAATCCATTATGTGCGTCTAAAAATATATCTTCTCGCTGGTCGTCTCCCTTTTGTATTACTACGCACTGTCGCTGTCTTTATTGATGAGCCATTAAATACCCAAGAAAGTGCCACCGTGGTAGAACATAGAAATATTATCTTAGTGACTGCAATTCCTATTGTCACGAAGTTTCATTATTTCCGAAAAATCTACGGTGTTTGGAACTATTTTCTTATGTGGAAGGACTAACCGCGAGCAAGCTGACTTCCGCCATATGGAAAACGATCAATAATATTTGACTGTTATCTGTCGAAAAGCGGATGAAATGTGCAGAATATGATTCGGTCATAGTGCTACAGTGCTTGTTTACTTTTTTGTTGATTGATATTTTGTTTACGTTACTTTTGTTTGTGTAAATTTTGTACAATGGTGATTGCGGCGGATACCCCCATCCCTCCGGTTTACGATGTAGTGTTTGTTGTAGAAAAGACAGCAAATTTAGCGGCATATCTGGAAACCTTGAAGACATCATATATTGTGCCTACTTTAGAGTAAGTATACATTTTGCTTGTGTTTATTTTGTATGTCTATTTAATCACCGATCACCCATGGTCGTTCATGTCAATACACAGATCAAATGTCAACATCATGATGCGATCGCATGTCACTTGGACAGGTGCTTGTTTTCGGTGACTGGTCATCTCATGAAACGTACCGCCAGTTCAATTATCTGGTTTCTCTATCTTCAATTTTGACGTGAAACGCTGAACTATTCCGACATAATTATGATATATTAAATGACAGAAACCTTTGCTGCGTTTAAGCGTTCGGGAAAACCCAACACACATGGTAAAACTTCCTGTTATTTACCATGTTTTGCTGTTTTTTCCCTCATTTTGATGCATGTCTTTAATCATCTTCTATGAAAGTGTAATGGGTAAGAGGTTACCCCCGTTCCCTCATTCAAATAATATTTATAAATATATTAAAATTATTAACAAAACTTAACACAACAATTACTAGAGAACTCACAAAATGACTAAAAGTCCAAAATTTAAGTTAGGGTTAGGTTTAGAGTTAGGTTTAGGGTTGGGGGAACGGGAGGAACTCTTTCTGTGTAATGTCTGCAAAATGTCTAAAGTTATGATGAAAACACAGAAAGGAGTCTATGGTTATTGCCATTTGCCAGTAAAACCAAGGCTTACAAAATAGGTTATCTGTTATCTGAAGCAGAGTCTTCAGAGTTCCTAAATAATGTTGAAATGTATTTGAAAAATACAGTTGGGATAAATTTGTTACTCCCTCCTTCAGTCATGTATCCAGGACTATCCACTCCACCATGCACACCCATCCCAAATAATAACTAATATACAAGTGACATGCCCCTAAGATGCTGCTGAAAATGTGTATGTTTGAAGTCGAATGTAAAGAATATGCTTTGAATTATATTTACAAACTGTATCATTTGTCATGTATAAATTAGATTATCATGTGAAGCCAAAAAGTATTTACCCACACTTCCTTTTCAGATATTTTAATGGAGGGCCACCAGATCCAACAGACTACGGCAATGACGTAAGTTGTGCATCTATCTTTCTAAATCACATGACAGCACCCGTGTAATCACCATGATCACAGTAGTTCTGTTCCTGTTGCCTTGTGTACGTTAATGCGCTTAGCCTGTGGTTAAAATGTGAAAAGGAGACCCACATTTCTGAGTAAGATGACAGTAATGACAGAGGAGAATGGAAAAATCATGTTCAAAAGTTGGTAAAATAGTGAAAGTGTTCAGTGCCGTTTGTGTTTTAGCTGAATCACTAGATGAGTAAATAGTGAAAAAGTAAGATCTAAACAGAGTCCAGACCATCCATCCACTTGCTAGTTAGTAAAGGTTTGTTGAATGCCCAAGCAATGTTCCAGTGGAGACAGTACTAGACAATCCTATGATCAGTGTGGTGGTGAGGAAATGCTGGGGATTGGCTGTATCCTAGATCTCAACAGTGGAAACCTCCACATACAATAGACCTGTGAAGATCCGGGTTAGAATATTGATCTTCAGCAACCCATGCTTGTCGTAAGCGGCGACTAACGGGATTGGGTGGTTTGGCTTGCTGACTTGGTTGCCACACGTCATCATATCCCAGTTGCGTAGATCGATGCTCATACTGTTGATCACTGGATTCTCTGGTCCAGACTCGGATTATTAACAAACCGCCGTCATATAGCTGGAATATTGCTGAGTGCTGAGTTAAACAACAAACCAAACAAACCTTCAAAATATTGTAGGTAGTCCTAGTTAATGCTAATTTTGTTTTGCAATATTTTGTCATGCCATATTTCATTGCAGTTCAGTTGCACATTGTTCGACCTGGTCACCTTCCATTCCGGGGACATCTCACCAAGTCCAGCAGCGTCATGTGAATACCCCACCACAAGCACACACAAGTTCCTTTCCTACCTGGATGAAACCGAGTAAGACCCTGGTCTTTGTCATTCCTGTTTGATTCCAAATGTATTATCGGTTGATATGTGATTACAGCTTTGTTAATGGTAATGTCAGTGCTTCTTTTGGGTTGGCAAAGACCCCAGGTGCTTGGGCCTTGAATGAAATAAATGACATTCTGTTACTGATTATGCTGATCAGTTTAGCTCCTACAGACCTTGTATAATACCACCTATCAATCATTAACACAGGTTATCTGGTTATTAGTCAGTTATCCTCGGATCATAATGTTATCAGTCTGGAGCTCTATACATGATGTTCGAAGACTGACTGACTGAGTTCGGTTTTACGCCGCTTTTAGCAATATTCCAGCAACATCATGGCGGGGAACATCAGGGAATTGTACCCATGAAACCTGGGCTTCACACATTGTACCCATTAATTTGAAGGGCTGAACCGCCTCGATGTTGAAGAATGCTTTAACCACTAAAGGCTACCGACACCAAAGACCCGGGTGTTCCCCACATGGGTACAATGTGTGAAGCCCATTTCTGGTGTCCCCTGCCATGATATTGCTGGAATATTGCTAAAAGCGGCGTAAAACCATACTCACTCACTTATGTTCGAAGAATTCATAAACAATGTTGGAAGAGTTTGTACAGGCAGTCTTTGTGAACCACAGGTCATGATAAAGTTATGAATAATGTGTATTGTGCTGACTTGCTTGAAAAACTGTAGCATGTTTGTTTCAGATTTATTGGAGGTGAAGCCCAGTCATTCAGTCATATTGCCGAGGGCTTGAGTACAGCATTACAAGTATTTGATGAAATCAAGGCAACCAGGAACCACAGGTAAATCTATGTCCGTGGATATTGAATGTAAAATTATTCAGTTATACTTTCTCTATACATCTCTACCCCTGATTAATATGAGTCGCTTTTAGCGATATTCCAGCAATATCACTGGCGGGGAACACCAGAAACAGGCTTCACACATTGTACCAATGTGAGGAATAGAACCCGGGTCTTCGTCGTGATGAGCTAATACTTTAACCACTAGGCTACCACTCCTCTCCTGATTAATATGAGATTACTAGAATGATATTAGTGACATGATATACAGTAAGTCATGAAAGTATTGTTCAAATGCTGTGCTACTGGCATTGATGCTATAACACATTTTAGACCAGGGGTAAACACATAATTTTGTGCTGCGTCAGTTTCCTGATTTGCTGTGTGTGGTTGTTGTTTCAGTATCCCGTCTGAGCGGCATTGTGTGCTGGTGTGTAACTCTCCTCCGTATCACCTGCAGAGTCAGGAGAGTCAGGATTACTCCGGTTACTACAGTGAACAGCTGGCCAGCATGCTCGGCAAGGTAGACACCATCATTCACCTTCATCCATTATCACTGACTATCTCATGTCATCTTTGATTATCCAGGGTCCCGTTCCTCAAAGCGATCGTAGCCCTACGACAGTCGTAAGTCTATGTTAAAGTATGGGAGTTACGACTGTCGTAGCACTACGATCGCTTTGAGGAACGGGGCCCAGGGTATTAGTATTACACCTACTTTCTGTTAGATAAGTACCCTGGACCCAGTCGTCACCATGGCCATATTTGCAAGGTAAAGTAGACACATCAGCTACTTTTACCAACCTTTCAATATAACAAGGCATTATTTAGAGTTTGGTTTATGGACCTGTAGAAAATGGTAGAAGAAATATTTCTGAAACATTGACCATCAGCCCTGTTGATATGACAGCAAATATTCATAGTTACCTGAAAACCTTTTAAGAAGATTGATGTGGAAAGGGAAGGAACTCTTCTAAGGCCATGATTCCTTCAGGTCATCATTTCAAATTACACCCTTCTTTAATCATCTGTCTTTTTATGTCTTAATGCATTTGAAACAAATGTAATCAAGTTTCATATGCATTCAAATAACAGGTAAAACATAGAAAATAGAATGTTTATCTGTCAGATGTTTTTGTATTTAGTTGTGAATGTATATTTTGCCTAAGAATGTGAATATTCATGTGGATGTTTTAACCCCAGAAATGAGTTTTGGTCCAGCTGAATTGTTTGTCTTTGCTAATGATTGTTTTACTTTTAACCTAAGGTTTGAGCTGTAATTTCATAGACAGTGGAATTGACTTAGTATTCACTGTCTTTTTTTTTACATAATTCTGGAACACATTTTTCTTGTATTGTGTGTGTGGATATCAAAACAGTTTTCATGTAATGTTAGCTTTGTCCAGACATAGTAGCTTATAGGACAAGGGAGATAATTCGCGCAAGGGGAGACAATTCTGTGTGATTCAGGCTTGAGTCATCTTGTTGTTTTACATGATATTACTCACTCTCAGACAGATTCAGGTTTACCTGTTGTTCTTGTTTCAGAGGGGAATATATCTTTCCATCATCTCACCAAGAAAAATTCCAGCATTACAGAGACTTTATGAAGAGGTGAGTGTTGTAGTGTGCTTTGAGCACCCGCTTAGTGGTTGGATTTAGCGCTATGTAATTTTAATTTCAGTATTTATTATTATTATTCAAGAAGGACTAGTTGCAAAAAGAGTTAAGTCAAAAACGGTGTTAGTCTTCTTTTGTACATTAGTTAAATCTCTTTTCACTTAAAACATGCATCATTTGGCTTTTACAAAAAAGATGAATTTGTTATCTCTTCTTTGATGCAAGCATGTATTCAGCTTGTTTGTTTTATGCAGATTTGATGTTCTCAGTCTGCCATGATAAACCTGTACTTTAGCACACAACAGAGTGAATCCCATTGATGCACTTACTATTCTGTGTTACCATAGTAACAGCAATCATTTTTGTTCCAGTCTTGCACTACTGAAAGCCCATACAACCCAACTAAAGATTACACAGTGGACCCCGTCACATGGTGTTGCTGCACGGCTTCCAGCTGCAGGGTAGGTGCTCTACTCTTTGCTATAAGCAATTCTTGCATTATGATCTGTTGACTGTGGTAAATTAATTAAGGGTGTTGTTGTTTTTCTTAATCATATTAAAACGATTGTGTTGCCATGGTTACAGAGAGGTCCCACAGTCCAAGTCTTGAAGAGGAGAAACAGACCAGTGAGCTTATAAAATCATCTCTAGGTAGAGTTGTCTCCCCTTTTCTGCTTGTTGCATTGTAAAGGCATCCTCAGTGTTCTGTAGAGACTGAGGAAGTAGAAAGTACAAAAGATCATGAATACACAACGCTTTCAGGAAAAGATCAATGCATATTAGAATATGTGATCTTTCTTTGACAATCTAGACAATTGAAAGATTGTTAACATGAACTTGATCAACATTGTTGTCCCAACAGTTTTATACTTCATATGACAGAGTGAGTTATTGTATCAGTTTGAATGATTTTTTTGTTAGTTCAATTTAATCATTAGGATGTGCTTGTTTGATTTGAATGATATATTTTCTGTTACAGGTTCAACAGGCACGAGTGGGGGCAGAGTTAATTCCCCTGCACCAGCCACTACCACTGATGGCCAGTTCAAGGTTCCACAAGCAACAACAGGCAGGATATAGTTATTATAGAATTTTTCCTTATCCTGCTTTTTCTTATCTCCCTTCTCCTTCGACGGTTAAGTGAAATACTTGAATCCTTTCAATTCCCTGAAGCGATCGTAATATCGCTCACCCTTGATAGCCTCCCTTTTCCTGCCCATATGGTCCCATGTGACCTGGCCCCGATTTCTCGAAACAAACTTAAGTTTTTACTCAAATTTCAAACTGAGTTTGACAATGTGAAACAGCTGATTTTGTAACTCAACTGCATTTTTTAAATAAAAAAGCCCAAACAACTTAAGTAATCCATCCACCAAACTCAAATTGTCTAGTATGTTTGAGTTTAATATCAATTTCAGTTCATTCTGCTAAATGCATTTTCTCTATTTGAGTAAAAACTCGAACTTAAGTTTGTTTCGAGAAATCGGGCCCTGGTCCTAGCTCTCATCACTCTCTCCTTACAATAGGTCCCTTGTGCGGCTTATATCCTTTATATTTCAGGCTCTTTATCCAAATTAAGGCCATGAATTGTGTTTAGGCTGTATATGGTGTCTTCACGATGTTAAAATTTACGCAAATAATTCCTATGTTCCATGAAATAGAAAATACTTTCCGGAAAACATTATCTGGAATGTAATGTCTACATTACTGGCTACATGTTGAATTAATGATGACTTTTTATTTCATTCCAGGCTTGCAGAATATAACTCAACAGCCTTCGCCACAGCAGCCAGCATTGTCTCCCTTGAATCCTCAAAACTTAAACCAGGCTGTCACACCTCAGGCATCCCCACAACAACAGCAACAACAGCAGCAGCAACAACAACAGCAACAACAACAACAGCAGCAGCAGCAGCAACAACAGCAACAGCAACAACAGTCCATACAAACCCCAGGGTCGGGTGGGCTTGCTAATTCGCAGACTCCACAGACCACACAGATGGGCATGGGTCCCCCAATGGGTCAGATCCGACAGGTCAACCAGCCCAACCAGCAGCCCAAGATGTCCATGTCTCCTGCCGGTCAGCAGCCTCAAAACACAATGGTTACCATGGCAAACACTATGATCATGAACCAGCAGTCCAGTCAGCAGGTGCGCCCTGTGTTCCTGTCACAGCAGGGGCAGATAATCAATGTGCCCGGTACCCAGGCAATACAGGTATACACACACGAGAGCGCTTACCGACTTGAACATTGCAAAAACAAAATCCCCAATCCAAATTCTGCCTATTTATATAATATTTTGGTGACAGTTGTATTTCCTGATTTTCTTAACATCTGCTGGTCTATCTCAGCCTCGACCCAGTTTCACAAAGCTGTCTTTGCACTGAGACCTTGTAAGTTGTGGTTAAATATTATTAGAGTTACAAATGTCTTAGCATGGGATTGCTTTGTGAAATGGTGTCAGAAGCCTATGTACAGAGTTCCTAAAAAAATTTAAAAGATGGCCAAATCTATTGCGTCTTCCTTTTTTTAGTCCTGATTTTGTGCATTGTTTCTACATTTGTTCACATGGTACAAAATATTTCATACATGGTGTAAGTTGCAGTATGTATACCTTGGGAGAAAATGGCCTCCATGAGTTTTCGTCTATATTGTGATAGTCAGCATAGTTGAGAAACAAGATGAGGGCAGACTGACATTGAGCTTGTCGGTACTTTGTCACAATGTGACTTTGAGGCCATGTCCTTTGTGAGGGTGAGGGGAGGTATAGTGAGGTGGGGTGTTTGGTGGTGAGGTGGGTGTTTGGTGGTAAGGTGGGGTGTTTGGTGGTGAGGTGGGGCGTTTGGTGGTAAGGTGGGGCGTTTGGTTGGGGTGTTTGGTGGTAGGGATGTGGTGTTTTTGATGGTGATGTGGTGTATTTGGTAGTGAGGTGGTGTGTTTGGTGGTGAGTAGGTGTGTTTGGTGGTGAGGTGGTGTGTTTGGTGGTGAGGTGGGTTGTTTGGTGGTGAGTAGGTGTGTTTGGTGGTGAGGTGGTGTGTTTGGTGGTGAGGTGGTGTGTTTGGTGGTGAGGTGGTGTGTTTGGTAGTGATGTGGGGTGTTTGGTAGTGATGGGGTGTTTGGTAGTGATGTGGTGTGTTTGGTAGTGATGTGGTGTGTTTGGTGGTGAGGTTGGGTGTTTGGTAGTGATGTGGTGTTTGGTGTGATGGGGTGATGGGGTGTTTGGTGGTAGTGATGTGGTGTGTTTGGTAGTGATGTGGGTGTGTTTGGTAGTGATGTGGTGTGTTTGGTAGTGATGTGGTGTGTTTGGTGGTGAGGTGGGGTGTTTGGTAGTGATGTGGTGTGTTTGGTGGTGATGGGGTGTTTGGTAGTGATGTGGTGTGTTTGGTAGTGATGTGGTGTGTTTGGTGGTGATGTGGTGTGTTTGGTGGTGAGGTGGTGTGTTTGGTGGTGAGGTGGGGTGTTTGGTGATGTGGTGTGTTTGGTGGTGTGGTGTGGTGTGGTGTGTTTGGTAGTGTGATGTAGTGATGTGGTGTGTTTGGTAGTGATGTGGTGTGTTTGGTGGTGATGTGGTGTGTTTGGTGGTGAGGTGGTGTGTTTGGTGGTGAGGTGGGGTGTTTGGTGGTGAGGTGGGGTGTTTGGTAGTGATGTGTGGTGTTTGGTAGTGATGGGGTGTTTGGTAGTGATGGGGTGTTTGGTAGTGATGGGGGTTTGTTGTTAAAGTAGGCAGATGTACTGGGATTTAAATGTAATAATCAACATATTTAAGCTCTATGTTGACTATTTTCATCCAGCACTTGAGAACTCTGTAGATAGACTTTGAGCAAAATATGTACATTATTCTCTTGTTAAGAATTTTCAGCAATCATGCTTCACCAACAATGAATATTTGAAGGTATATATCTGACCTGAAATCTCGTCACATAGTAACGGAGGAAGTCCAGTATTTGCTATGCAGAGGAAGCCTAAGACACACCAAACACAAGGCCACTTTACCAACTTCGGTTCGCTCATGCTGTGTAGAGCTGCCTGGGTATAACCCTTGTTACCGTTGAAACAGACCTGTCTACCAGTTAGTGTGTAGATACCTGTACTGTGTGTGTGGTTGTGGTGAAGCAGGTTCAATGCATTCTACTGTTTTCAGTGTTTCAAATCAACAGGTATCGTTGGTATTCAGAGGACCATATCTTGTTTTTCATTAGAATTGTATATTATCACTGAGTATTTATTGGTAAAATGTAGACATTGAAAAAAATGTTTATGCCTGCAGGTAAATACTGTTTGATTATAAAGTACATGTCATGAGATGATGGTTGTGATGCAGCTGAAATGCTTGCAGTAATAATGTTCCCAATTCACTTGGACATAAAAAACAAATATTTATAGAAATAGGACACACTGGTCTCATAATTTGGTTTGAGATTTTTAGTGGTGTAATGATACAGCAATGTAGTACTGTATGTTGATCCAAAGCTCACAGTATGATACTTTGACTACATCTGTATTGCCATACATAGATTCAGTAATTTTTGTTCTGAAATTTAAAAACAAATTCTTCAGGGTTTAGATTCGCCTGGTAGATACAGAATGTGAACTGATGAAATTGAAAAGGGAGAGAGTGACAAGTAAGGCTGGTCACATGACTGTTTGCGCGGGAAAAGGGAGGTAACTCGTGGTGAGTGTACTTTTACGTCCGCTTTAGGGACTACAAAGGATTCAAGTGTTCCACTAACATTCGCATAGAAGAGGGAGCTAAGCAAAAGATCATGAGTCAGGATAAGTATAAAATATCAATTTGACTTAAAAAATTACATACTGTATTGGGATGCAAAGCGTTATCACACCCATATTGCTAGGATACATGTCATACTGTATCGTTACACCCATAGTAAAAATATTCTATAACCATCAACCCTTCCAACAATGTGTATTGTTAATATAAGGAAAGCCAGTACTTGGATCCTGTGTATTGGGTTTAACTAGCCTGTGGTAGTATCAGCTCTGTTATAAACACATTGACATGCATTGAACTAGATGGTAGACAGGTCTGACCTTTCTGTTCTGACATTGTGACGTGTTGTGTGTTCTTAGGTTGCATATTTTGCATGTAGTTGAAATATTCTTCCTGTTCACCTCTGCCTTTCCCTCCAATGCTACAATTTATATATTTCGATTCGCAAATTGAAAACTTGCTTTCTTTATTGCTCAAAATAAGTAAATATTTCTCACTGCTTAAAAATTATTTTTATCATTTTTATTTCTTTTATTTTGTTATTTATGTTTTCTTTTGTTTTGTTTGGACATGTTTCCATTGTAATATGTGTTGATCTAGAGAACCAACATGAGCTCCCAGACATGGTGAAGGAAGTTTGTGTCTAAAGTTCAGAGCTCCATATAAGATTTAGCTCATGTGGGTACTGTACCCACTGTATTTTTTTGGAGTGGGTATTATGAATGTTGAGTGGGTATTTCATTTTCCGTTACCCAATGCTTTCAAATATGTGCATATTTCAGTCATTTTACTCACCTAAGTATATGTCATTGAGTAAGTTTACTAAGCAGGTATGTTCTGCCTTATGTCATACCTAATCAAAACCAACTTTAATATAATGGAAATGATTTCATAAAAATCACTCATCCTATACTGACAGTACAACACTTGTCCTATACTAACAGTACAACTTGATAGCAATCGATGTCTTTTTCATTACACAAGCGATTTTTAAAAATATATTCCATACACATTTGTTTTAAACTTTTTGCGTATCTAACATTTTAAAAGCGTAATTGGTACGCAACAATTATTTTTTCAATGCGTAATTGGAAATTTTCTATGCGTATTTTACCCGGATACGCAGCTTATCTGGGCCTCTGTAAAGTTGATGTTCCATGGAATAGGAAGCATGGAGTAGCCTAGTATTGAAGACAAAATGTTATTGTATGTTTGAAAATATTCTTCATAAGACATGTGACTGAAATGAACTGATCCACTTCCACGACAGTGCTACTGTGTCAGGACCAACAGGGGTTCCTGGTTCTGTTGGACCATAGCAACCTGTGTCTGGTGCTATGTACCCGATGATCGGCTTCGATCACTTTGGTTACTCCATGTCATCATGACCGACGTGGGGCGGTGGGGTAGCCTTGTGTTTAAAGCGTTTGCTTGTCATGCTGAACACCTGGGTTGATTCCCTACATGGGTATAATGTGTGAAGTCCATTTCTGGTGTCCCCTGTCGTGATAGTGCTGGAATATTGCTAAAAGCGGCATAGAACCATACTCACTCTCTTATGACCCGACAACGTAGATTAAAGTTTGGAATGTTTAGGTGTTTGTTATTTGGTCAAAAGTCAATTATCTACAGTCTGCTCTTATCTGGAATATTGTAGAGATTGCAAGTTCTTGATAAGGGAATTGCACATATATTTGAATGACACAAATGTCAGAACCGTATGTAGGAATGAATGTTCACAGCGTTTTGTTTTTTCTATCACACCCAGCCTTTCCTCTTTTAGTCCAAGTTGTGTTGTAATTGTGACATTGTTCCTGGTTAAGTGTTTCTTCATCAATGTTAAGTGGACTGTGATTCTGGTGTTTTGTTGTTCCAGCATTTGTTTCCTTTTTAATGAAAATAATGTGTTGTGTTAACATTAGATAGATGCAGTTTATGTGTTTTAAACGCAAAGTGTAATAATGCATGCGTAACCATGGTAACTGGTAATTTGATGACACAATACATAATTTCAATTATTTTTCATCAGTCTTGAAACTGAATATCTAAAATTTTTATTAATTCTTTCAGTTGGAATTTGTTAAATTCTTTCATTTTTCTATGTAAAAGCTGAAAGCTGATAAATATGAAGTAATCTGTATTTCTTGTCTATCTTATGTATATTCTGCCATGTTTTGACCTTTCATGTCTTATTTTCAGACTGTGAAGCAAGAGACAAATCCCATGTTCATCAGTGAGTATTTTAAGTTATTGGTTATATGGGGGAAGATAGAAGGGTCCCTTAGCCAAACATCTAGGGGCAGGAGGGCAGCTATTTCACACCTTGATCACTAGTATGGTCACACATGTTGTGTCAGTCAAGCCCAGACCTTCCAGTATATCATGTTCCTATTCTGTTGGGACAGAATCCTTGAACCAAGTGTGAAAATATATGTCACTTAAAATAGCACTCCAGTCAGAAAATACTCATATGTGTGAGAAATGGTATGCCAAGTTAGTGATGAGAAAGGTGAAGTTACTTCTAAAACATGAAGGTCTTGTTGAATAGCATCTCCTTGATAATGGATAACTGGCAGTTGGATATTTGAATACAGTCAAATCCCGATGAGTCAAATCTCTGGGGACCAAGTAATAAATTCGACTTATCGATGTATTCGAGACATAAGTATGTCTATGAGGGTAGAAAACATGATGATCCAGTCCAAATTCCTCCGCCTAAGCATTTGTTTATCTAATGATTTCCATATCACTAATAGGGGCACCTTATCAGTTCCAGTCTGATTAGCACAGACAGTGATTTCCATAAAATCACTAATCTGCCTTTTGAACTCACCCATCAAAGGCGGAAAGGTGTGAGCCGTGCTGGTTTGTTAATTGGATCAGTTTGCTACACCAATCAACTTCTCATTGACTGACTTCGGCTTATGTATACAAGATTGCTGTTGTTTTAATCTCATTGGACCAAATTTTCTTTTCAAGTCATCGTGTGTATTTATGAGACGGAATTTGTGTAACCGGTATTCAAATGATGACAACTATAACAGGGAATGGTCGGGACAGACAGGTACTTCGAATTATGCATAATATTCGAGACACCGGCATTCGACTCATCGGGATTTGACTGTATTTGGTCAGTTTTATGAGAGTATCATTCCAAAATAAATTTGGATTCCAGACCGACAGAGTCAAGCTCAGCAGCAGCAACAACAACAACCACCACAGCAGCAGCAACAGCAGCAGCAGCAACAGACAGCGGACAGAATGATGTCCAATCAGAGACCTGGTGTTACCATGGTGAGTACCCAGAATCCCATGACAGCTCAAGGACTGATGACATCACAGCCACAGGTCATGATGACCCAGTCGGGTATGGTGACCTCCCAGCCAGGGATGATCACCTCCCAGCAGAACATCATGACTTCACAACAGAACATGCAGAATCAACAGCCCATCAAGATCCGCGTCAATCTACCCAATCAGAACACCATGACAACCATGTCCAACCAGCCAGTCTCCATGCCAACAGATGTCTCCCAGGCTCTCGTGTCACAGCCAGCGATGTCCATGCCAACACAGCAGGGGATGAGCCAGTCCTTCATGCAGGCCGGTGGGCAGCAGGGGGGACAGCAGATCGTCATGCAGGGGGCGGGGTCAGCTCCAGCCATGGGGGGTCAGGTGTTCCCTGGGGCTGCCGATGGTGGGGTGGCTGACCCCACGAAGGCTGCAGTACAGAACAACAAAAAGATCATCTGGAAAGGTAGAGTTGATGATAATAATGATCCATTTATCAAGCACATTTCTCCACACATAATGCATGCTCGAAGCGCCCAAACAATCTGATTATTATTACCCGAATAACCCAAGCTACTTGTGAGGCGCTAGAAGGTTAATAGTCACATGACTTATCCCACCGGGTACCCATTTTTCTGCTGGGTGAACAGAGGCAATGTTGAACGAACTCGCTTGCCTAAGGCGAGACCACATGTATCACGTGTTACTTAATTGTTTTGATAGATTGGAGAAAATTTGTATGCATCACCTAAAATTTCTTTTGGCAGTACAGATAGTTTGCAAGGTGATTAAGCATGGTTGCCCAGTGAATCATAAAGCACTTTTACTGTTAGTGGTTGAACAATTTTAGCAGTGAATGGTACCATTTATGGATTGATGAATTCTTGAGTATTTACTTAGCCCAGTAAAGAAGATATCAGGCCCAAGTTAGCAGCAATATTTTTAAAGTTCCCAAAATGAAAAAAAAATATCGACAGTTCATTCATGTTAATCTATATGTCTAGGAAATGACCTACTTTGTCCTAGATCATTCTAAAGACACTTATAATCCGAGATAAATCCCTGAATCTATTCTGGATGGGTGAATGTTTCTTTAAGCCTGGATACTCCGAAGGCAGGTGTTTATCCTTTATCCTAGGCCTTTTTCAGAGCTTGATGAGATTTTATGTTCATTAGTTGACTGTTGATACATGCCAGGTGTCATCTATTACCTCATGGTTGTCTTGTGCTAGTTGTCATGCTGGTGCTGTGTTCTATGCAGGTTCCCTGGAGTACCAGGAGAAGCCCAAACCCCAGGGTCCTCCCAATGCTGTGCAGCAGAAGAACACCAAGACCCTCAACTGCTGCGTCTCCATCCTCAACACGGAACCTGACCTGTAAGCACCATTGCCTGTTGGTATTGTAGGGGCACATGCCAAGTCACATGACATGTCACATGCCAAGTCACAGATGGGACTTGATGTTGATAGGGTTGATGTAATAATGGCTTCAATGGCAATGTCAAGACCAGAGAATAACCAAACATGATGATCAAACAAAACAGATTCCATTGGGCAAAAAATGAACTTGATGCATGAGTGAGTGGAATATCATTTTAGACATTATCTGCAAAACATTTAGATTGATATGGAATGAAGTGGCCAGCACAAGCTTACAGATAACTGAGAGAGAGAATGGGAGAGAGAGAGATTTTACGCAGCTTTTAGCAATATTTTAGCAATATCACGGGGGAGGATACCAGAAATGGGATTCACACAATCTACCAAAGTGGAGAATCAAATCTTGGCCTTTGCTGTAACCACTTGGCTACCCACATGTTAACACATGAGACCTAGGTTAACTTTCTGGTATGTGGAGTCAGTACAGTTTATGATTCACTGTTTGTTTTACCTTGCCTAGCAACGCGAGAAACTGGCCTGAGAAGCTGGTGATGCAGCTCCTGCCCCAGCCCATGCTACACGAGCTGCAGAGTCTGTTCCGCAACTCCAGACAAGTGTCTTTCCACTTCTCTCCCAACGACCTGGACGCCCTCCGTAACCTATACCGCATCATGGGAACAGGATTTGTACGTACAATAGTCTTACTTCTTCTGCATATATGTCTTCCAAGGAAGCAGGCTGTTGGGGCTCAATCCCTGGATGGTTTAATAAAATAGCAATTCTTTCCAGTTTTGCTTGCCAGGGTTCCTTGTTTTGAACCCATGAAACATCGGGCAAGAATTGGTCTTCAGCAACCCATGCTTGTAGTGAGAGGCTGGGTGGTCAGGCTCGCTGACTTGGTTGAAAGATGTCATCGTAGCCCAGTTGATCGATGTTCATGCTGTTGATCACAGGATTGTCTGGTCCAGATTTGATTATTTACAGACTGATGCCTTGAACATTTTTGAGCTTGTAGCAAATAAAGAATCACAAAAACAAAGAAAACTCATGCTTGTGTCTGCCCAGTCCCGAACTACGCCTTGTCATGTTCCAGGCTGGCTGTGTCCACTTCTCCCAGACTGCCCAGTGTGATATTCGAGTGCTACTCCTGCTGTACAGCAGCAAGAAGAAGGCCTTTGTTGGACTCATCCCCAACGACCAAGTCGCCTTTGTCCAGGGCATCAGGAATGTCCTCAATAAAGTCCGAAACAAGGTGTGTGATCACAGAAGTAGGATCGGTCAATGTGTTTTTATTCTCAGCCATGTGGGGAATCCGGGATAGAATAAATTCCTTGCAAAGTAATCTGATTGTTAGAGGTGACTTATTGGACTCGATGGTCAGGCGAGTGGTTGATTGCTTCATTGATGTTCTAACATTAACTGGATGATAAAAGCTGTAACATAGGGTGGTAGGGTAGCTTGGTGGTTAAAGTGTTCTCTCATCATGTAGAAGGTCCATGTTCAGTTCCCCACATGGTTATAATGTGTAGGGCTGCTTTCAGATGCTTCCCATTGCTGATAGCATGTAGAACCAGCCTCACTCTATTGTAGCTTGCTTCTAGTTTCTGTGAATAGCTGCTACATTGTTAATACTGCAATTAGTAGTAATCACTCTCTTACCCACCCACTCAGTCACTCACTCACTCTCTTAGCACTCCTTTGCTGCTTTGTGAGACCATGTTTCTTACTTTGAAATACAAAGGTGTTGTTCTATTATTTTCCTTTTATCTCTACATACCATTTTATTACCCTTTAGATTAATTAGAAGAGTTTTGATTGGTTAATAGCAAAAGCATTTGAAACATACGCAAAACTTTGATGGGTAGTTTGAATATATCTTGTATATATTATATATATCTATCAAACGGGTAGTATGGATGACTTTGACAGTTTGCAACCTTTGACATTGAAATCTATTGGTTGGCATTGGAGATTTCAGCCATTATTATCACAGAAACTTTTTTTTATCAATATTTTTGAGGATGCAATATTTTTATACCTGAAATGGAAACACATTGGACCTAAAGGTACAACCTAAACAGTGGTATTATTTAAAATATCAAATCCCTTAAAACATAGTTTTTAAGCCTTCAGGAGTTATGTCCCTTTGAATATCGATCAATAATGTTTCTCTGCGACATGGATCATTGCCTCCCACGGCACAAATAGAGGAGACACAAACGAAAACAGTTCTGGAAAACACACAAAAAAAGCCTAAAATTCTAAAGGGTAGTAAATTTGTCATGTGTCCATTTGCCAGGTAGTATGGGATGGTACGGTCCATTTCAATCTGTATTTTCTTAGGCCTCAGGTAATATAGACTCAGTGGGGCTGTACCATCCCATTCTACCTGGCAAGTACCTGCATAACTAGTAATCTTGTGTAAACATTTTATAGAAATACTAGTAGTAAGCAAAATGTTCTGCACATGCAGTTGTCTTATAAGTATTTAAATTGTCAGAGATGTTTTGATGTATATTATCATGCTTACCCAGAAATAACACGTTCTTGTGAAATCTTTATCTTGCAGGATTTCTATTTTGTAAGAATTATTACTTTGGGATATATGACAAAAATTTATATATATACTGCTGAGCGCATGTTCATCTTGGTTTTAGCATATGCATGAGTGGTAGACATATCTTTGTTGGCAGTCTCTCTTGTATGGGGTATTGTATCATCATTCCATTATGGTAAATACTCTGTACCTAAATGGCTCCATGGCTTTGTTTTGAGTTACACGGCACTGTAAAATGATGTCGAAACAAATTATACTGTTCTTTCTTGAATACAACAGAAAGTGACATCACCAGTACCTGTTTCATGTTGTCTATTATACAACTATGTCTCGTAGGGTAATGGCTTAGTTTGCCAATCTTAATGTTCATTTTAAAAAATCAAACGTTGAATACCTGCTCATGCAGGGCCACAACATTAAATATTAATTATGAAATTTCATTTACGAAAAGCCGTTTGATTTGGAGATGATGGCAAAGCTCATCAGCGAAAGAAATTCTCGAGATGAAATTTTAGATGTGATAAAAATGAGGACACTTCCAAAACAAAGCTGTGTATCAAATGGGTGCATGGTATGTACGTAAATATATGTAATGGAATGGAATTGTGATACACTTGATGATGGGAGATGGGGACAGATCCTGGTTAATATACAGTGGAGGAGATCATTTGTATCCCAGCTTTCTTTGGAATCAGAATGTTTGTTTTGAAGCAAAATATTTATGTAGAGTTGATGAAACTTGAGTTTAACTGCCAGTTTTGTATCCCAAATATTGCAAAACAATAGAATGGAAATGTAGCACATTGAATAACTCTTTTGAATCGTTTGATTGTTTTGAGATCTCCTCCTAACTGTGTCTGTTTGACAGTGTTTGGTGCATGTTGAACGTAATCCTATTATTGTAAATATTTCTCTGTGCCTCTTTCTCTCACTGTACCTCTTTCTCTCACTGTTCCTCTTTCTATATTTGTCTTTCTCTATCTGTGTGTGTCTGTCTATCTGTGTCTTTCACTGTCTCTATCTCTCTTTCTGTGTCAATTTCAGTGTCTATGTCTATCACTCTCTCTCTCTGTCTCTGTCCATTTCTCTTTGTCTTTCTCTATTTGTTTCTGTCTCTATCACTATATGTTTCTCTTTCTCTATCCATGTCTCTCCTTCTCTCAGTCTCTATGTCCATCCTTCTTTGTCTCTTTCTCTCTTTGTTTGTCTCTCTCTATTTCTGTCTCTCTCTATCCCTGTGCCTCTCTTTCTCTCAGTCTCTATGTCCATCTCTTTGTCTCTCTTTGTTTCTGTCTCTCTCTATCTCTCTGTCTATCCCTGTGTCTCTCTCTCTCTGTCTATCCCTGTGTCTCTATGTCCATCTCTCTTTGTCTCTTTCTCTCTATGTGTCTCTCTCTCTCTCTCTCTCAGTCTATATCTCTCCATTCTTTAGACTAGTCTAGATGTGTTAACTTGTTGACTTAGAAATGTTGATTACCTGATATCTACACCTGTGCACAGTATTTCAGTTTCTTCTCTCAGCCATGCTATTATATTTTCTGCTTGCTCTGTAATGTTAACCTGTAATGTGGCTGTAAGCTCTACTTGAAAGGCCAGTTGAAGGAGCATGCTAACTGTATTGTAAACACTCTCATCCTTAAACCATCAGTAACTGTCGTGCACTGTAAATCCTTTATCAAATGCTTCACCACTGGAATTGAAACAGGACATTAGATGTGAAACTGAGGTTGTCATGATTATACTTGTTACTGGTGTTTGTGTTTGTGAAATGTAATCTTGAATGATTTGGGATGTGATTTCCTGCATGTTCCTTCTGCTTGGTACTGATCACCTATTGTACTGGTGCATGATCCTCTTGTCACTGCGTGTGTTCTATTGATCTCTTAAAGATTTACACACAAAAATAAAAACTGTTCCAGCAGCAGACACAGCAGGTGAATCAACCGATGACCACAAACCTACCTCTGCAGCCTCCCCCACAGGTATGTCATTCCGCCTCCCCATGCAGCCTCCCCCACAGGTATGTCATTCCCCTCCCCATTCAGCCTCCCTCACAGGTATGTCAATCCCCCTCCCCAACAGGTATGTCATTCCCCTCCCCATGCAGCCTCCCCACAGGTATGTCATTCCCCTCCCCACAGGTATGTCATTCCGCCTCCCCAAGCAGCCTCCCCCACAGGTATGTCATTCCCCATGCAGCCCCTCCCCCACAGGTATGTCATTCCCCTCCCCATGCAGCCTCCCCCCCACAGGTATGTCATTCCCCCCCCATGCAGCCTCCCTCACAGGTATGTCATTCCCCCTCCCTATGCAGCCTCCCCCACAGGTATGTCAATCCCCTCCCCATGCAGCCTCCCCTGTGGGTATGTGTCGTTCCCCCTCCCCATGCAGCCTCCCCACAGGTATGTCATTCCCCTCCCCATGCAGCCTCCCCCACAGGGATGTCGTTCCCCCTTCCCATGCAGCCTCCCTCACAGATATTTCATTCTCTTCTTCATGCAGCCTCCCTCACAGATATGTCGTTCCCCTCCCCATGCAGCCTCCCCCACAGATATTTCATTCTCTTCTTCATGCAGCCTCCCTCACAGATATGTCGTTCTCCCCATGCAGCTTCCCCACAGATATTTAGTTCCCTTCTTCATTCAGCCTCCCTCAGATATGTCGTTCCCCTCCCCATGCAGCTTCCCCACAGGTACGTCATTCCCTCCCCATGCAACCTCCCCACAGGTATGTCGTTCCCCCTCCCCATGCAGTTCCCCCACAGGTATGTCATTCCCTTTCCCATGTAACCTCCCAGACAGGTATGTTGTTCTCCCTTCCAATGCAGATTTCCCTAACAGGTATGTCATTCCTCCTCCCTATGCACATTTCCCTCAGGTATGTCATTCCCCCTCCCCATGCAGATTAATCCTGGTTATCACTTACAATATGCAGATCAATAATCAGTGCTGAGTAATTGATCAATAATTGATTGTAATCGTAAACCCCACCTCAAAATATGTTCGCGATAATGGGACATCATAACATTGTGCATACCAAACAGGCAACAATAAATTCTGTTATCAATATCATTTCCTGGTGCACACCTCTGAGTTGTGTGTTTTCCTCTTGTGGTTTTTCTGATTTTTGGGTGCTAAAGAACAATCACTTAATCCATGAACAACAATAACACATGTCAATAACTCATAAAACACAACTTTATCTTAACAACAACAATAACACATGTCAATAACTCATAAAACACAACTTTATCTTAACAACAATAACACATGTCAATAACTCATAAAACACAACTTTATCTTAACAACAACAATAACACATGTCAATAACTCATAAAACACAACTTTATCTTAACAACAACAATAACACATGTCAATAACTCATAAAACACAACTTTATCTTAACAACAATAACACATGTCAACTCATAAAAAACAACTTTATCTTAACAACAACAATAACATATCAATAACTCATAAAACACAACTTTATCTTAACAACAATAACATATCAATAACTCATAAAACACAACTTTATCTTAACAACAACAATAACACATGTCAATAACTCATAAAACACAACTTTATCTTAACAACAACAATAACACATGTCCATAACTCATAAAACACAACTTTATCTTAACAATAACCGAGTCAATAACTCATAAAACACAACTTTATCTTAACAACAACAATAACATGTCAATAACTCATAAAACACAACTTTATCTTAACAACAACAATAACAAATGTCAATAACTCATAAAACACAACTTTATCTTCACAACAACAATAACACATGTCAATAACTCATAAAACACAACTTTATCTTCACAACAATAACACATGTCAATAACTCATAAAACACAACTTTATCTTAACAACAACAATAACATGTCAATAACTCATAAAACACAACTTTATCTTAACAACAACAATAACATGTCAATAACTCATAAAACACAACTTTATCTTAACAACAACAATAACATGTCAATAACTCATAAAACACAACTTTATCTTAACAACAACAATAACATGTCAATAACTCATAAAACACAACTTTATCTTAACAACAACAATAACACATGCCAATAACTCATAAAACACAACTTTATCTTAACAACAACAATAACACATGTCAATAACTCATAAAACACAACTTTATCTTAACAACAACAATAACTCATAAAACACAACTTTATCTTCACAACATAAATAACATGTCAATAACTCATAAAACACAACTTTATCTTAACAACAACAATAACACATGTCAATCACTCATAAAACACAACTTTATCTTCACAACAACAATAACACATGTCAATAACTCATAAAACACAACTTTATCTTCACAACAACAATAACACATGTCAATAACTCATAAAACACAACTTTATCTTCACAACAATAACATATCAATAACTCATAAAACACAACTTTATCTTAACAACAATAACCATGTCAATAACTCATAAAACACAACTTTATCTTAACAACAACAATAACACATGTCAATAACTCATAAAACACAACTTTATCTTAACAACAACAATAACACATGTCAATAACTCATAAAACACAACTTTATCTTCACAACAACAATAACACATGTCAATAACTCATAAAACACAACTTTATCTTAACAACAATAACACATGTCAATAACTCATAAAACACAACTTTATCTTAACAACAACAATAACATGTCAATAACTCATAAAACACAACTTTATCTTAACAACAACAATAACATGTCAATAACTCATAAAACACAACTTTATCTTCACAACAACAATAACACATGTCAATAACTCATAAAACACAACTTTATCTTAACAACAACAATAACATGTCAATAACTCATAAAACACAACTTTATCTTCACAACAACAATAACACATGTCAATAACTCATAAAACACAACTTTATCTTCACAACAACAATAACACATGTCAATAACTCATAAAACACAACTTTATCATAACAACAACAATAACATGTCAATAACTCATAAAACACAACTTTATCTTAACAACAATAACACATGTCAATAACTCATAAAACACAACTTTATCTTAACAACAACAATAACATGTCAATAACTCATAAAACACAACTTTATCTTCACAACAACAATAACACATGTCAATAACTCATAAAACACAACTTTATCTTAACAACAATAACACATGTCAATAACTCATAAAACAACTTTATCTTAACAACAACAATAACATGTCAATAACTCATAAAACACAACTTTATCTTCACAACAACAATAACACATGTCAATAACTCATAAAACACAACTTTATCTTAACAACAACAATAACATGTCAATAACTCATAAAACACAACTTTATCTTAACAACAATAACACATGTCAATAACTCATAAAACACAACTTTATCTTAACAACAACAATAACATGTCAATAACTCATAAAACACAACTTTATCTTCACAACAACAATAACACATGTCAATAACTCATAAAACACAACTTTATCTTAACAACAACAATAACATGTCAATAACTCATAAAACACAACTTTATCTTAACAACAACAATAACATGTCAATAACTCATAAAACACAACTTTATCTTAACAACAACAATAACATGTCAATAACTCATAAAACACAACTTTATCTTAACAACAATAACACATGTCAATAACTCATAAAACACAACTTTATCTTCACAACAACAATAACACATGTCAATAACTCATAAAATACAACTTTATCTTAACAACAATAATAACATGTCAATAACTCATAAAACACAACTTTATCTTAACAACAACAATAACATGTCAATAACTCATAAAACACAACTTTATCTTCACAACAACAATAACACATGTCAATAACTCATAAAACACAACTTTATCTTAACAACAACAATAACATGTCAATAACTCATAAAACACAACTTTATCTTAACAACAACAATAACATGTCAATAACTCATAAAACACAACTTTATCTTAACAACAACAATAACATGTCAATAACTCATAAAACACAACTTTATCTTCACAACAACAATAACACATGTCAATAACTCATAAAACACAACTTTATCTTAACAACAACAATAACATGTCAATAACTCATAAAACACAACTTTATCTTAACAACAACAATAACATGTCAATAACTCATAAAACACAACTTTATCTTAACAACAATAACACATGTCAATAACTCATAAAACACAACTTTATCTTCACAACAACAATAACACATGTCAATAACTCATAAAATACAACTTTATCTTAACAACAACAATAACATGTCAATAACTCATAAAACACAACTTTATCTTAACAACAACAATAACATGTCAATAACTCATAAAACACAACTTTATCTTAACAACAATAACACATGTCAATAACTCATAAAACACAACTTTATCTTCACAACAACAATAACACATGTCAATAACTCATAAAATACAACTTTATCTTAACAATAACATGTCAATAACTCATAAAACACAACTTTATCTTAACAACAACAATAATGTATAATTCAAATTTTGACAATGTCTGTGACAAAAATACCAAAAAGAAACATACACTCTGAAGTTTAATTTGATGTCTAGTTCCATATGAATATTGATTAGTCTATCCAGCCCATCAACAATTGCTGACGCAAGCGAGTTCGATTGATTGAGCGATTATTTGATCAATCACTCCAGCACAAATGCATTTTCCCCGGAGGCATGTCATTCCCTCTCCCCATGCAGATTGTTAATTGCGACATGATTATGTGGTTCATTTGTCAAAATAAACATGTAACAGAGACTTCTTCCTTGCAGATGCAGGCGACACAAGGACTTCCGAACAACCAACAGCAGATGAGGATGGGGATGCAGGTAGGTTGTCAGAATCCAGTACGCCTTTCTTGTTGTGGTGTTCCGATTAATTGAAATAATCAAGCAATCGATGATATTTACTTATAATCGAAAACAAACGATTTTGGAACAACTGTTTTAGTGTTTGAAACACTTAATGATGGACCATATCTGAGAAGTTGTCAGGGGCAGAAAATGTGTTTAAATCTTAGAAAATTCACGTCACTTACTGAAAAGTTATGACTGAACATTTCTTGAAGACTCCAGGAAGTTTATGTTCGTGATAGTTAGCCATCACTTTAAAGTTGCAAGTTGCATCATGTTATACTTATCTGCCATAACAACCTGAATAGGAAAATCTGAAAAATGTCGCTGTTTTTTTGTTTTGAGGATTGCTCGTTCATAATGAACCAGTCATCAATTGTGAGATTTCAACCAATTCCCAACACTACTTTCTTGACAAATAGCGATCGCCCTTCAGTTGAGAAAGGTCATCAACCACTACATCCCCCCCCCATCCCTTCTCCCCTTCTCTCCTAGCCCCACCCACCCCACCAATTTCATCTCGAGTGATCCGAACAAACTTTGATAGCCCAATGTACTTAAAGAAATCTCAGTTGTTATCTTCTTGACGTCCATTTGCAAATTTGGACTTGCAGAAAACATAAACCATAGCAACAGAAATATTTGTTTGATAGTAGTTCCTCTTCTGAGCAGATGCCATGGTGCTTGGTAAGAAACTGGTTTACTGAATATCTGCACCAATGTGATTGTTTTACAATATCATGTAACATGTTTCACAGACCACCCAAGTGGTAAAGTGGTGCCTGTTGATGACTTTTCGGATATCTTTATTTCAAAGCAAATGTTTGTGGTAATGTTTATTTTTAAATTTAATATTTGTTTTCATGCTGACAAAGTGGTTTTAGTATATTCTGGAAATGGTGGTTGTACAACTCATTTGGACAGTAGGACTCTAAACCTGTTCGACCTTCCTTATTGAAACTTGCTACCCCACATCATTTGTGTGTTCAAGTTTCCTTTTGAAGATTTTTTGATTTTCAAGTTGTTCTTTGGTGATTTTGGATTGGTATTTTTTATATCATAGTCATACCAGATCTACATTAAGTGAGTTTGTGAGACGCCTGCTTGTGGCTTGGCACCACTGATCTAGAGCAAGCATTTGACATGCTCTGTAATGTATCTGAAACAGCGGTGCCTGGAACTCTAAGTAGCATGCTTTATATGTATTCATGTAAAACAGCTGAGGGAGGAGCACGCTGTGACTTATCTCTGCTCTGTTTGTAGACAGTGGCAGGCAACATGCCCATCACGTCCGCCTCCACTCAGGTGGCCCCATCGTTGCCTCTCCAACAGGATATGGTGAGTCAAATCACCTTGGTTACCACCATCAAGCCTGTGGAGATCTGTTTTGTTGGATGTGGGATTAGGGAAAATGCTTTTGAGTTTGGTAGAAAAACATTTTATCACTGGAGAATCAGTTAAAGGAAATACTGTAGTGAGAAATTGATAGCAGGGCAGTGTATTGGTCTTAAATATTGTTTTGCAATATGGTACGATACAGGGACCTTATTCTCGAAACGTTCGTAGCCCTAAGAATTCTTAACTTTGATCGTTAAGATTGGGCTTAAGAAGTTCGTAGGGATATGAACGTTTCGAGAATAGCTAACCTGGTGTCACTATTGTAACATATTGCGATATATAGGGAGCTTCAGTGTTTGTCAGTGATTTACATGGGTCCTGTATTGTTCACTCAATGAGTAAATGTTCAGTCAATGTGGTAAAGTCAACTTGGTCAGTCTCCGCCATTTTGGATACAGGGTGATAAAATCATACAAGAGTAATCACTTCCATGCTTCTGTCAATTAATTTCGTCGTGAAGTCTTGGTGAATGAATTTCTGTGTGTATATTAGGTTAAATGGTACAAATAAGGGAAGAAATGTCCTATTTTTTTACCCAATATACAGAAATACAGAAAACTGATTGCATATTGTATGAAAACCATATTGCACTTTACCAGTTTTCCATTGAAAGTCCTAGAAAATAAGAGAAACTTACGATTATTTCCTCTGTTAATTCTGAAATGTTTGGAAATTCATGATTACTGTCATGCTTATTGCGACTTGTGAAACATGATGTTAAATATTGGAGAGTACTGTTATGTTGCTAGAACATATGTTGAATGTTGCAGGATTCTGTGATATTGAAAGTGGCAAGAAAATATGTTGAATGTTGCAAGATACTGTGATGTTGAATGTGGCAAGGAAATATGTTGAGTGTTGCAGGATACTGTGATTTTGAATGTTGCAGGATACTGTGATGTTGAATGTTGCAGGATACCGTGGTGTTGAATGTTACACGATACCGTGATGTTGAATGTTGCAGGATACTGTGATGTTGAATGTTGCAGGATACTGTGATGTTGAATGTTGCAGGATACCGTGGTGTTGAATGTTGCACGATACCGTGATGTTGAATGTTGCAGGATACTGTGATGTTGAATGTTGCAGGATACTGTGGTGTTGAATGTTGCAGGATACCGTGATGTTGAATGTTGCAGGATACTGTGATGTTGAATGTTGCAGGATACTGTGATGTTGAATGTTGCAGGATACCGTGGTGTTGAATGTTGCAGGATACCGTGATGTTGAATGTTGCAGGATACCATGGTGTTGAATGTTGCAGGATACCATGGTGTTGAATGTTGCAGGATACCATGGTGTTGAATGTTGCAGGATAGTGTGATGTTGAATGTTGCAGGATACCGTGATGTTGAATGTTGCAGGATAGTGTGATGTTGAATGTTGCAGGATATTGTGGTGTTGAATGTTGCAGGATACTGTGATGTTGAATGTTGCAGGATAGTGTGGTGTTGAATGTTGCAGGATATTGTGGTGTTGAATGTTGCAGGATACTGTGATGTTGAATGTTGCAGGATACTGTGATGTTGAATGTTGCAGGATACTGTGGTGTTGAATGTTGCAGGATACCATGCTGAATGTTGCAGGATAGTGTGATGTTGAATATTTGCAGGATACCATGTGATGTTGAATGTTGCAGGATAGTGTGAATGTTGCAGGATACTGTGATGTTGAATGTTTGCAGGATACTGTGATGTTGAATATTGCAATGTTATTGTGCGGATACCATGGTGTTGAATGTTGCAGGATACCATAGTGTTAGATGATGCTTGATGTTGAATGTTGCAGTGGTGTTGATATTTGCCAGGATAGTGTGATGTTGATATGTTGCAGGATACCGTGATGTTGAATGTTGCAGGATAGTGTGATGTTGAATGTTACAGGATATTGTGGTGTTGAATGTTGCAGGATACTGTGATGTTGAATGTTGCAGGATGACTGTGATGTTGAATGTTGCAGGATACTGTGGTGTTGAATGTTGCAGGATACCATGGTGTGTTGCAGGATACGTGATGCTGAATGTTGCAGGATACAGGATGCAGTGATGTTGAATGTTGCAGGATACCGTGATGTTGAATATTATTGCAGGATACTGTGATGTTGAATGTTGCAGGATATTGTGGTGTTGAATGTTGCCAGTGTTAGATACCATGGTGTGTGGTTGATGTTGCAGGATACTGTGGTGTTGAATGTTGCAGGATACCATGGTGTTGAATGTTGCAGGATACCGTGATGCTGAATGTTGCAGGATAGTGTGATGTTGAATGTTGCAGGATACCGTGATGTTGAATGTTGCAGGATAGTGTGATGTTGAATGTTGCAGGATATTGTGGTGTTGAATGTTGCAGGATACTGTGATGTTGAATGTTGCAGGATATTGTGGTGTTGAATGTTGCAGGATACCATGGTGTTGAATGTTGCAGGATACCATGGTGTTGAATGTTGCAGGATACTGTGATGTTGAATGTTGCAGGATACTGTGGTGTTGAATGTTGCAGGATACTGTGGTATTGAATGTTTCAGTGTAATATAGAGTTGAATTTTACAGGAAAATATGATGTTGAATGTTTCAGGGAAACACCTGCATCATGATGCAGCCGAACCAGGATACTGGTGCCGGTGATACCATGATGAACCGAACCATGCCGAACCAGATTTCCATATCAGAGATGATGTCAGGCCAGCAGGACAGGGCCAGTCTACAGGTCAGCATCGATTCCATGGATATTTAATCCTCAGATTTTATCCAGAGAATTTGATAATTAACTGGGCATGCTGGATGGTATGAAAATTAACATGGCGTGGGAAATGAAAAAACGTGACTTCTCATTTTTAGAGGGAAAAAAAAGAGAATATTAATGCAGACTCAAATGACAATTGTTTATATTAAATGTTCCACCTGTATGTCTATGATATGCCTGTAATGTGTGTAAACATCTTGCAGCGGAAGATCCAGCTACTCCAGAGTGACCTCCAGGCGGCAAAGGAGAAGGAACTCCAGTACCAGCAGGTGGAGCAGGCGAAGAAAGCCATAGTGGCCCAGCAGCAACTCCAGCAGAGGATGGGTACGTGCCAGCCACACACTGTCATACTGCAGGGGGCACTTACTCTCTGTAGATAACCTGTGCACTGTCTCCAGCTTCAGGGCATCTCCAAACTGTATCGCTCTACAGTACGTCTCCACACTCTATCACTCTCAAGGGCATCTCCATACTGTATCACTCTCCAGGGCATCTCCACACTGTCTCACACTCCAGGACGACATCTCCACACTGTCTCACTCTCCAGGGCAACTCCACACTGTCTCACTCTCCAGGACATCTCCACACTTTATCACTCTCCAGGACATCTCCACACTGTATCACTCTCCAGGGCATCTCCACACTGTATCACTCTCCAGGACATCTCCACACTGTATCACTGTCCAGGACATCTCCACACTGTATCACTCTCCAGGACATCTCCACACTGCATCCCTCTACAGGGCATCTCCACACTGTATCACTCTCCAGGGCATCTCTACACTGTATCACTGTCCAGGACATCTCCTAATTGTATCACTCTCCAGGGCATCTCCACACTGTATCACTGTCCAGGACATCTCCACACTGCATCACTGTCCAGGGCATCTCCACACTGTATCACTCTCCAGGGCATCTCCACACTGTATCACTCTTGAGGACATCTCCACACTGCATCACACTCCAGGGTATCTCCACACTGTATCACTGTCCAGGACATCTCCACACTGTATCACTCTCCAGGACATCTCCACACTGTATCACTCTCCAGGGCATCTCCACACTGTATCACTCTACAGGGCATCTCTACACTGTATCACTCTCCAGGGCATCTCCACACTGTATCACTGTCCAGGACATCTCCACACTGCATCACTGTCCAGGGCATCTCCACACTGTATCACTCTCCAGGGCATCTCTACACTGTATCACTCTACCCGGCATCTCCACACTGTATCACTCTCCAGGGTATCTCTACACTGTATCACTCTACAGGGTATCTCCACACTGTATCACTCTCCAGGGCATGTCTACACTGTATCACTCTCCAGGGCATCTCCACACTGTATCACTCTCCAGGGCATCTCCACACTGTATCACTCTCCAGGGCATCTCCACACTGTATCACTCTCCAGGGCATCTCCACACTGTATCACTTTCCAGGGCATCTCCACACATCATTTCCATATATTTTTCCCCACGCCGCGCGTTTAGCACGAAGGGAGGCATTTAGTATTAGGCTCCGCTCGTCCGTCTGTACGTACATACGAATATCTTAAGAACCGTTGACTGGATTCTTTTCATATTTGGTACCTAGGTTTGGTGACCTTGACCTTCATTTCAAGGTCATAAGGGGATTTTAACGTTTTACCCTTGTCAGCAAGATATCTCAAGAACCGTTCACTGGATTTTCTTCATATTCAACACCAAGCTTAACCTAGGGAGGGCACAGGGCCCAGTCGAATGTGGTGACCGTCACCTAATTTTCAAGGTCATTGCGACACTTTGAAGATTTCAGCATGTTAAGCTGCATGTTAAGCTTGTCAGCGAGATACCTCAAGAACCGTTCACTGGACTTTCTTCATATTTGACACCAAGCTTCATCTGGAGAAGGTGCAAAGCCCAGTCGATTTTGGTGACCTTCACATAATTTTCAAGGTCACGGCGACACTTTGATGATTTCAGCTTGTTAAACTGCATGTTAAGATTGTCAGCGAGATATCTCAAGAACAGTTCACTGGATTTTCTTCATAGACTTTCAAGACTTCCCTTGAATGTTTTTCAATAAGCAATTTCTTTATTACTATTTTTGCATATTTCATACACTAAGACATTCATGTCAAGGTCAAAGTGAGTCTTGAAAATATTTGTGCGTTTGAACAATTACAGAGCATGATATCAAGAGAGGTTGACTGGTCATGTTTTTGTTGACATTTAACTCCATCTTAAATTACGACCTTCACTTTCATTACTTTTTAAGTTTGATTTGATAATTTGCGGCTGGGGATTATGTCACCGTAGTGGCAATGCTTTGCTTGTTTTAAAAAACTTTAATCCTCGCAAAGACACGAGGGCCTTATTATATCAACCTATAACAACTGTTCTGTTTAGGTGCTAAGTTTAATATTATGTCATCTTACTCTAATATACAAAACATCCTCCGGGTTGCTGACCGTATTTGTGACAAAATCTGACTTTTGTGAGGTTGATTCTCAGATTTGCCCTCATAATGATTCTGCTTATTGATTTAACCAAGTGGTAAATGTTGACTTTAAGTACTTTGAGCATTTCTCCGAATTAAGTTACACCATGATAAGACTGAAGTATAGATTGATATACAAGTGATATCCCTTGTATATTTCCAGGTTTGTCAGACCCATGACTGTGCTTGTTATTTATGTGCCCATGTGTTTTTTTTGTGTGAGATGTGCATCACTTTGGGCTTTCCTTTCAATGTAGCTGACAGGCACATTCGATATTCTCGAATGCTATTAATAGCTTTGTTAAACTGGAATAGACCTGTTTTTGGTTACAGTGTAACTGTTCATACTCCATTGTTGTATTTATTGAATATTTTTCACTTTTTTTACCTTGAATGTTTTAAACAATAAGATTGTTCATAAACCTTTGAATCAATGATTTTTGTTCCTTGTTTTCCACACATGATGAATGGCAACATCCTTTTGATCAACCTGCTATAAAGTTACTCCGCAGTGCACACTCCCCCTTACAACTGAGATTGTAGAATAATGACCCATGGCTTTAACTCTACAGTAACTTGAACAATATATATTCTGAAACTCTTTGATTTATTGCCTGTTTCCATGGTTACTGGGAACATTAAATTCAGTTATGAAGCTGGTTCTCATTAGTGGTGTAATTAATTGGAGTGAGAAATGAGAGACTCTGAGAATTTGACGTGAATTAAAATGGAAATTGAGTAATTTCTTTTGTATTGTAATGAAAATGTTTTATTACACGAAAAATTCAGTTTAAATATAGTCTTCTCTGTAGGTCAATGTGATTCTGTTCCTCGTTATGCTCGTGTTGCATTTATATGTCAGATTGAAGTCTATATTTAGATGTGTAACAAAGTACACTTTCACTCCATTATTCAAGTACTCAGTTGCAAGACTAATGTTTTGTTTCTCAGACTTGAAAAAGGTGCAGAGCAGTGGGGTAGCTTAGTGATTAAAGCGTTCTCTCGTCACTCAGAAGACCCGGGTTCGATTCCCCACATGGGTACAATGTGTGAAGCCCATTTCTGGTGTCCCCCGCCGTGATGTTGCTGGAATATTGCTAAAAGCGGCGTAAAACCAAAACTCAGTCAGTCAGTCTGGTGTCCCTCCCCATGATATTGCTGGAATATTACTAAAAGCGATGTAAAACTAAACTCACTCACTGTAAAGGGCACATGCCGCCCAGTCTCCTAATGACCTACAGAAGTAATGCAGAGTTGCATCCCTTAGTCACAGCAGAACCCAGTGATTGTGGGTTTGAATCCTGGTTGATTCAGGGTTTGTCTGCACCATACCTGTGTTCCTGGGTTTGACCTAAGTGGTAAACCTCAGAGTCCAGTGTCATTGGGCTTTTGCCTCTCACAAGGCTTACATGCCATGATATGACTGAAATTCCTTTGTTTGTGGTTTAACGCCGCACTCAGCATTATTCCAGCTATATGCCAGTGGTCTGTAAATAATCGAGTCTGGACCAGACAATCCAGTGATCAACAGCATGAGCAACGATCTACTCAATTGGGATATAATGACATGTGTCAATCAAGTCAGCGAACCTGACCACCCGATCCTGTTAGCCACCTCTTACAACAAGCATGGGTTGCTGAAGACCAATTCTACCCCAGCATCTTCATGGGTATAGTGTAAAGCCCATTTCTGGAGTCCCCAGCCGTGATATTGCTGGAATATTGCTAAAAGCGGCGTAAAATTAAACTCAGTCAGTCAGTCATGGGTATAGCTGAAATTCTATTCAAAGGTGGTGCTAAGTCCATGAGAGGCATGTGTGTACACAGTCATTTGGCCAAAACCGATGATAGTATTTCTTGATCCCTCGTAAGCCCTGATTCATGTTTGTGGGTTTGTCAGCTCCAATCCCGAGTATGTGGGTTTCACCAAATGGGTAAATGTCAAGACCTGTATCACAATGTTAGATCAGGATGTGATTGGAAGATGGTGGTTATTAATATATGTTGTCCGTCTATGGGCTAAATGTTGAGATAAGTGTCTTCTTAAGCAAACTAATCAATTTATAATTTGAAGTTGGAAACGTCTTTCGGATATAACAGCTTTCCTTAGTAGTGAGTGAGTGAGTTTAGTTTTACGCTGCACAATATTCCACCTATATGGCGGTGGTAAATAATCGAGTCTGGACCAGACAATCTAATGATCAACAGCATGAGCATTGATCTGCACAATTGGGAACCGATGACGTGTCAACCAAGTCAGCGAGCCTGACCACCCGATCCCATTAGTCACCTCTTACGACAAGCATAGTCGCCATTTGTGGCAAGCATTGGTTGCTGAAGACCTATTCTACCCCGATCTTCACTGGTCTCTTTCCTTAGTAAACAAGATTGAGAATTTGTTGATCTTAAAATACAGTGTCTATTGCTACATACAATATAGCGGGTACTGAACACAATGTCTACGTGTAGACTGGACCTTTCGGTTTGTTTTTAACATTATTGACCCCCCAGCAAGGAATGCCTGCCAGCCTTTCTAGAAATGGTATAGGTGATGTCATTGCTTTATCAGTTATGAGTGAGTGTGTTTAGTTTTATGCCTCTTTTAGCAATATTCCAGCAATATCACGGCGGGAGACTCAAGAAATGGACTTGTCATATTGTACCCATGTGGGGAATTGAACCCAGGTGTTTGGCGTGACGAGCCAAGAAAACCGATGTGTGATAAAACAAATGACCAAAGTTTACATTTAATTGTACCATATTTCCTCCAATACGCGTTTGGTCTCCAATAAGCGGGGGTCGGGGGTGTAAAGCAACTGTTCAAGAAATCAGTGCTGTGTCTTCAATAAGCACCGGGTCTCAATAAGCGACAGGTGTGCCGCATGTTTACAATGGAGTTTTCAAATAAAATACAAATGGAGAATCTATATATATTTCCGTTGAAACTTTAAGTGCTGGGACTGCAATAAGCGCCGGACCTCTAATAAGCGCCAGGTCTGGAAATCTGTTGAGAAAATAAGCACCCGGGCGCGTATGAGAGGAAATATGGTATTTAATATTAATAATAGTATTCTATAATAATATTTTATCATATTCATAAGATATTATTTGGTTATTAAAACACTCCTTATAAACACAATATGCAACAGTTTGATTTGTGATAAAATCAAACGAGCAGATGTTATTAATGTTTGACTCTTTGAATGCCATATTTCACAAGTTTGGAAAAAGATCCAAGATATATATGAATGTTTTGATGCATAAATATTCATGACCAAGTTTATGTACTATAAGGAAGATGTTAAAGAAAAGTTCTTCTTCTTGCCCTGACGACTGTGGTTTAGTTTTAAGCCTGTGAAGTTTGTTTAGTGCCTTAACAATTGAGTGCAACTGAAGAATTTTTGAATTTTTTTTTATTTACCATTTTTTTACTTCTTTATAGGTACAGTACATGTGGTCAACGTATGACATTGATAGGTACAATTGTGCTGATATACAAGATTACAAAAGCAATCAATGATATTTCTATAAAAAAGTCTGCAAATGGCATCAGATGCAACTGAAAAAATTGGTGACCAAGCTTTCTTCTTCTTTTTGCATTGCAAGTTCTCAATTTTGATTTTTCCCATGGAACTTTCTTCTCCCATGCTTTTTTGCCATTTATTTGATGTTGAGGTATGTCTGTTCTCCTTATAGAGGAGGTATATTACCCGGGACCTCCACCGCCTCATATGTACACTGGTAGGTAGTGGTCAGACGGTCAGTACCCGCTTCCTGCTCGTTGGTTGGTGTCCTGTGGGTTTTGTCCGTGCAGTGGTCAGTCGGTCGTCCACTGCTGTGTGTCCATCCACTGCTAGCCAATGAGGAGGATGGGACGCAGCAGGCCATATTTACCATTTCATGTCTATGTACAAAGTGAGATCAGGTTTCCGCGTAACAGTTTTCGTGCATGCGTATGTATGCCATGATCCGCCTGCATTAAAAATGACATTAAGCTTTTAGGAATATCGTTTTGTCACAATTACAAAAGATTAAATTGAAAAAATTAGAAGTTGCCTTGAAACAACTTTCACCCTTTGCATGCAGTCGGAAACTTTGAAAAACTTTCTGTGACCTGATTGAGCTTGTATGTGTTTTAAGTTATGGACACAGCAATATTATCATGCATGGCATTGTGGGTGGAGGTATTGTGTGCTGAAGTACATCTTTGTTTAAGAGCGAGTGCCAATCTGTATATCATTTATGAAATGCAGTGGCCGTGGAGCTGTTTTGAAGTCTGACATATTTGCAGTTTGACAAAATAATGTCACAAAGGATATATGTCTACTTTATTATTATAGTAATAACATTAATTTTTGAATATCAATTATGTCAACATAAGAAAACAATATTGACTGTATTGACCAGATTTACCAAGTCAAATGACATAGTATTTGCAAAGTTTACATAGTATTTGCAATATTGACATAGACAAATGAAGGTTTTATTGATAAATTATTCCAGCATTGATGTCAAATTTACAACATTAGCTACATAACAAATGTTATATTTGGTAATAACACTTTCTTAGTAAAGTACTAATTCTAGTGTTTTTGAGTTTAAACTCCCTCTGGCTTCTTATCCTGTACTCCGCCGTGATATTGCTGGAATATTGCTAAAAGCGGCGTAAAACTAAACTCACTCACCCCCTCACTCTAATCCTGTACATTTGTTGGGGCGTTGGGGTAGCCCAGTGGTTAAAGCATCCCCACATGGGCACAATGTGTGAAGCCCATTTCTGGTCTCCCCTGCCGTGATATTGCTGGAATATTGCTAAAAGCGGCATAAAACTAAACTCAATCACTTACACACTGAATAGTTGTTACATTTGACCACTTAATAAACACTAGCAGTGTTGAGGTCATTCTTTCACACTGTGACAAAACATCAAAACAAATAAAAAGAAAGGTTGTGGTTCTGATTACAGCTCTTTTATATTTAGGGTAGGTAGGTAGGTAGGAATATTTCTTTTTACATTTAAAAAAAAAGTAAAGTACAAACTAATAACACATTTATCAATTTGTAATTGTTTTTTTAATCAAGCTTGCCACCGTCATGTTGACTTTCTCTATCAGAATGACCGATGTCCGTCGGTGCCGGGAAAAACAATGGTATCTTTTTTTTAGGCTTTATGTTAACATTGAACACTCTCTGTGATTTGCCACTAACAGATTAAACTTGTTGGGATGTATTTACAAAATTTGTTTAGCCTTAGGAAACATGAAAGTCAATATATTGCTGTGTTCATAAAGACCTAAACCGTATGATGGCTTTGGTGAAGAGGCATAATTTTGGTGACACATGATCTAGTGGTCCTTGGTGGAACCCTGTTGTCCCCTACTGTTGTCCTGGGTTGTGGAGGAGGAATGGCCATGTGTGTTGAGTAGGCTGGGAAACTGGTGCTGGGCTCTGCAAGTTTTGTTTTTAGCAATTTGTATGCTGGATTGTGGGTATTTTAAGATTTCTTTTGAATGAAATGAATGTTGTACTTGGTTATCGGTTGACAATCTGCTCATGAAATTAAGAAAAATTATTTTTGTAATATTTAATTTTAATTTTTTCTTTGGACCCCTTAAAAATGATTGTCCAGCTAACCTCTATTGAAATTATTTTTTAAAGAGTTGATTTCTTCTTTACATTATCACTGATAATCGTTTCACATTTCATAAACTTCAATGAAATTATTTTAAATGATGTATATTTATGGTAGACAAAACAATTAGGTATAAACACCTGGTTTTGTGAGGGTCTTCATAAGAAAGCTTAATGATGAAAAGGGATGATGACCCACATGTTTTGGGGGAGTGGTTATATTTGAAACTGTTGTTTTGTCATTTAAATCAATGTGTCATGTTTAGATATTGTGCATGATTTTTCCACTTTGCGAAAATGTCAGTCACGACTATGCATGGAATCAAAACCGTATCCTTGACATAAACATATCAAATTTTCTTTTTTAAGATAAATATTGAGCTGAAGTAATTCTCAACAAATATTCATTTGAAAGACTAAACTTTATTTAGGTGTCATTATTACAATAGAAATGCATTTTAGGTGGAATGGAAATGTATTCTTTTTTTATCATCTTGATTGAAGGTTGCTTTTCAGAGGATGAGGTTCATCCTGATATGCTGTTGGTGAATTGTATTAAATGACCATTCACATTGCTGACATGTAATATTACCTTGTTGGCACCCTTGTACCTCTCAATATACTGATGTCTACTCCAGCTCAAGAAAACAGCAGCATATCTGTCAGTTTGTTCAGTTGTCAAACAGCGGTTATTTTGGTTGGTTTTACAGCTCGTCAGCAGTTGCAGCTTCAGCAGCAACAACAGCGATTGCAGATGCAGCAACAGGCAGCGTCACAGCAACAGCAACAGCAGCAGCAGCAACAACAACAACAACAGCAACAACAACAACAACAGCAGCAGCAGCTTCATCATCTGCTGCTGAACCAGCAGGTAAGATTGGGTGTCACATATGGGACGGGATGACTGGGTTTGTTCGTGGTCGTGTTTGCACTCTGGTCAATGTTATATATGCTATGATATTCGTGGGGACAGTTTCCAGTGCACAGGGAGAGAGAAGGATGTGTCACTTGGAGGTAGTGGAGTATGACGCCACAGAGATGAAGAGTGACAATATACCTGGATGAGAGAGAGTTTAGTGGAGTGTGTGGTTTGAGATGTATACAGACAGTATCTGGATGGGAGAGAGTTTGGTGGAGTGTGAGGTCTGAGATGTATACAGACAATATCTGGATGGGAGAGAGTTTGGTGGAGTGTGTGGTCTGAGATGTATACAGACAGTATCTGGATGAGGGAGAGATGTATACAGACAATATCTGGATGAGAGAGAGTTTGGTGGAGTGTGTGGTTTGAGATGTATACAGACAATGGGAGATCTGGATGAGAGAGAGTTCAGTGGAGTGTGTGGTTTGAGATGTATACAGACAATATCTGGATGGGAGAGAGTTTAGTGGAGTGTGGTCTGAGATGTATACAGACAATATCTGGATGGGAGAGAGTTTGGTGGAGTGTGTGGTTTGAGATGTATACAGACAATATCTGGATGGGAGAGAGTTTGGTGGAGTGTGTGGTTTGAGATGTATACAGACAATATCTGGATGGGAGAGAGTTTAGTGGAGTGTGTGGTCTGAGATGTATACAGACAATATCTGGATGGGAGAGAGTTAGTGGATTGTGAGATCACTCAGACGTGAAGAAGTACTCTTATGGACAGTCTCATGTTGAAAGTGAGAGAGCGTCTGAATATTGACATGTTGAATGAATCTGATCTGATAATCTTTGTTTAGAATCCACAAGGTCAGCAGCCTCAACAGCAGCAGCAACAACAGCAACAGCAGATGCGACAACAATTACTGCTCCAACAGCAGCAGCAGAACATGCGGGGTGCCACACCGCAAACACAACAAGCGGTGATGGGGGCTCAGCAGCCAATGCAGTCACAGCTTGCCTTGCCACAACCAGGCCAGAACTATAAACAGAGCTGTCTGGATGAGTTCAATCTGCCAGATATCCTGTAAACAGAACTGTCTGGATGAATGGAATTTGCTGGATATCCTCTAAACAAGTCAAAGGACAGACAGAACTATCTGGATGAGTTCAAGTTGCTGGATATTGTGTAAGCAAGTTGAAGGACAGACAGAACTATCTTGTTTAGTTCAAGTTGCTGGATGTCTTCTAAACAAGCCAAAGGACAGGAGAGAAATTCCTGGATGAGTTCATTCTACCAGATATCCTGTAAACAAGTTGTGCTAAGTCAGTTCAGAATTATGTCAGTGTTTCAGTCCGCTGATATCTCTGAACAAATGTGCTATCTTTCTCTTTGACATATTGGCAGGGTGAATTCAATCTGATCTTCTCTATACACTAGTGGTGTTCTGATTAATTGAAATAATCGAAGATTGGTCACAGTGACCAAACGACCAAGCAATCGATCACATTTTCTCATAATCAAACAAAAACGATTTTGGAACTACTGTTTTAGTCTTTAAAATACTTGACAATGGAACATATCGTTGAAGTGTCAGGGCCTGAAAACGTGTTTAATTCTTAGAAAAAACTTCACTAACTGAAAAGCCATGACTGAATATTTCTTAAAGACTCCGGGAAGTTTGTGTTCATGATATATTAGTCATCACTTTAAAGTAGCAAGTTGCATCATGTTATTCATATCTGCAATAACAACCTGGATAGGAAAATCTGAAAAATGACGCTAACCAATTTTCTTCGATGATTGTTCGTTAGTAATGAATCAATCATCAATTGTGAGATTTCAACCAATTCCCAGCACTACTATACACAGGTGGGAATGTATCTGATTCTTGCCAGACCAGTTAATACTTAATTTGTCTCTGTCCTGCGCTTCTGTATACTTGCTGTTGTTTGGGGTCCAAAGGAAATATGTGGCCTTATTGTTCAGCAAGACTCTTCATTCAAAGAAGTCATACCTCATTGTAAAGTTGGGCTTTTAACTCTTGAAAATTGCATGCCAATACAACTTTGTCAGTAAATTAATTTGAAACACTTCATGACTCAGGGAGGGAAGGATTATCTTGTGTTTGTGATGGAATATTTCATCTGGTTGCCTAGTAACCTTTTCAGAATCAGTTTTCATATTTCATATTTCTATATACATTTACAGGGATGTGACATCAGACTCTTTCTCTGGTCCAGACATTTGCTAATCCATGCAATATTCTTGGAACCAAGTTGATATAGGAAAAATATCACATTGGCTAAATTGATACTCATGAAGTGAAAGTCATAATTTAGCAAAGAATATTAGCAAATTTAGCAAAGAAGACATTTTTATCAACTGTTATGAAGTTGCTTCAAGGTTGCATCTGTCCAATGGAGATACTCCAAGATGTCTCAGTAATGCAAAGAACAGCAGTTCACTTATTCGAGATGGAAAGATTGATTATTGGAAATATTGCCGATGGGATTTTTTTTAATGATTACCAATATAATATTGTGTCATCAGTAAATATCAGACTTAACATATTGCACATCCCTGGCGAGGGATGACATATTTAGGTTTTGATTACTAACAAAACATGATCCTGAACATAATTTAGAAGCAGCCCATGAAAAAAGACCTAACTTAGTGTATTGCCCAGGTAAATTAAAACTTTATTCCATCACGATAGTTTATAGTATACAATATTTTGGCATTTGGCAACTTTTCTGATTTTGATCGATAACTGATTGATTTTCAGCTAATAATTATCAATCCCTACAATTTATATTGATAGCCAACCCTATCACTTACAGAGTTACCTCCCTTTGGAACACCAGAAAGTGGGTTCAGGTCCTGGGTTCACCTATATCATCTTTGGTTGGTCAGTATCATAACAGCACCACTTGCGGCTTTTCTTCTACCATAAAGGGCGGTGGGGTAGCCTAGTTGTTAAAGCGTGCGCTCATCATGCCGAAGATCTGGGTTCGATTCCCCACATGGGTGCAATGTGTGAAGCCCATTTCGGTTGTTCCCTGCCGTGATATTGCTGGAATATTGCTAAAAGCGGTGTTAAACCATACTCACTCACTCTATCACCATAAGCTGACACACCATGTTATCATTGCAACATTTGTGAAAACTTCACCGAGTCCACTCACTCTTTATGGAGATATTTATACTGTTTCATGTTGAATGAATCTCACCACATGTATTGTGCATATTTAAAAACAAATTAACTCGGTAAATTAACACAAAGTATTTGCTCCTTATCAATTACATGTGCACTGACTTATAATTCCAAGGAGATGGATTTTCAACCAAAGACTACAAAATGTTGATTTTGTGGGATTGTAAATAATTGTAAAAATGTTATATATATATATGTATGGATTGTGTACATTCTTGTTTCTGTATTTGTCATGCTTTACACATTTTTCTTCATGAAATGTACATTTGTGTATGGTGATTGGAGTTGTCTCATCATCAGTCACTGGTTGTTGCTACTTATCAATAGTATATTTCAAAGGGATTTTTGTACTGAAAACATTGTTTAACTAATTTTTTTTGTTCCATTTTGATGTGATCAGTGACTTCGCTTTCTAGTCAGTCATGTGCATTATCCAGATTCTTTTAGATAATGTTGATGACATAGGCACAGAATGTTAACTTGTTCAAGATATTATTTTTTTAAAATCATGCATGAAAATTCCAATTATTTGCTGATACCTAAATCTTCAAGCAGGGATAGTTGGTGTCCTTTGGAAAACATGATTTTGGTCTGACAAAAATCTGTTGAGTTTGAACTGCATTGTTTTGTTTTTTTGTACAATGAATTCCATTGTTTGATTATTGTTTGAAAGAATAGTGACATGAAGGACGACAAATTTGCCCGGTTGTGAAGAAATTGAAATCAATTGCATGACATTAACATCTTGCTTGTTCCCTAAATATTTCATTTTGCAGTTTAACTGGTCACTCGGGGAGCTGTGTCATGTGTACAAGCACTTTATTTATTGTTATGTTATCATTGCTTGTAACATATATTGTACAGCTATGGAAAAATAAATTCTTAAACAGCTGCTGCATGATTTTGTCCATTGTCAGTGAGGGGCGGTGGGGTAGCCTAATGGTTAAAGTGTCCGCTTGTCATGCGGAAGACCCGGGTTCGATTCCCCACATGGGTACAATGTGTGAAGCCCATTTCTGGTGTCCCCCGCCATGATATTGCTGGAATATTCCTGAAAGCGGTGTAAAACCTCACTCACTCCATTAATTAAGTGCAGTGCAGGGCCTATAGAAGAGGCGACTAACTGATAGGATGGTTGGGCTTGCTGACTGTGTTAACACATGTCATGCCAACTGTGTAGATCGGTGCATATAATGTTGCTCACTGGATTGTCTGCTCCAGACTCGATTACTTGCAGATAGTGGTCATTTAGCTGGAAAATTGCTGAGTGCTTCCTTAAAACACAAACAGAAGACAGTGTGTACAGACCAATGTAGATACCGTTTTCCTGGGATAGGTCTGTTAGGAGTTACTATTATCCACTCATTTGAGAAGGGGTTGAAAATTGTTAATGTCCTGTGACTCCTGTCCATATATTGTCCTGTTCGTATAAGAGTTAAAAGGTGGCCCTGTCGTGGCAATACACTACAGAGTTGCATCCCTTGTTGCCAGAAACCTTTCATGGTTTGTATTCGGAGTTTGCCCTGATAATGTTTCTCAGCCCCACACCAATTTGCGACGTGCGGTATGATTGTGACAGATTTGGTGATCCTGTCATTTAGGATCTTATCTATGGAGCGGTGCAGCTTTCATGACGGGTGTTATCACTGTAATGTATGCGATACCTCCGTGCTGAAGGTCAGGGGCTTGAACTTTCTTATGGGCATCTTATTGCTGCTTCTGATCCGTGTACATACCGCCTCTGTGGTGTAGTGGTTAAAGCGTCCGCCCGGAGAGCGGAAGGTCGCGGAATCGATCTTCGGTCGCTTCATATCAGAAGACGTTAAAATGTTCTTGTTGGTCCCTGTCTGGCGCTCGGTATCAATGGATACAACAAGGACTGGTCGACTCGGAGTCAGTATAATGTGTCTGAGTGGGGTATTCATCTGCGGCATGGTATCTCAGTGGGCTAGCACTATAAAACCAGCTTCCGTCTGGGCTAGTACAAACAGCTACACACACACGCATGCACGTCGTCAAATGAGCGACATATACTCAAGTACGACGTTAAACCCAATTTCACCTCGCCTCCTGATCCGTTGTACGAGGGCGATGCGCATTTAGGGCATTCTATCCGATTTCTGTAGCATGGAAACCGAATATAATTTGGCAGAGTAATGGTACTGTGGCATTGTGGATGTTTTATACAACCGGTCATTTCTGAGTGCTGTGCCATCACCGCCCAAAATGAAGGTGAATTGTATTGTCAAATCCGGGTAATAAAGAAGTGAAGCTGAATCGTTATAGAGTGAGTGAGTGAGTTTAGTTTTACGCCGCTTTTAGGAAAATTCCAGCGATATCACGGCACGGGACACCAGAAAATGAGCTTCACAGAATCGTTTTAGAGATATGGTTAGACAGAAGCTTGGCAATAAGCTTGGAATGCCATCGATGATGTACGCCGGTCAATCACCTGCCTTGATAAAGGACTAAAGAAATGCGTGATCATCTTCAAATGAACCTTAGTCCTCTTGATAGTTTGGTCAGGTTCGAACACATTCAATGGCCTCATCTCAACCCACTCGAGACCGCCACAATGGTTTTGTGAATATAGTGAATCTTTGCTCCATAAAACAAGCGTTAGTCCGGAGAGGTGTAAGCAGTCCCCCATATACAAGTGTAATCTGAATGGCGACGTACGTCAACCCCACCTGTCCTCCGCTTCATTGAGTTGGTGTTCTATTGGTTGCTTATTCCTTGCGAAAGAAATCGAAACATATCGCACATTTGTGGGTTTAATTCTTCCACCAACCACCCCCCCATCTTTGTCTCAAACACTCACGCCGAAGATCTGGGTTCGATTCCCCACATGGGTACAATGTGTAAAGCCTAGTTCTGGTGTCCCCTGCTATGATATTGCTGGAATATTGCTAAAAGCAGCGTAAAACCCAACTCAAACAATGTACAATATGAGACTTCCTCTAACAATTCACTGGTACATGCGACTCCTCTGATGGAGAACAATTTCGTCATTGTTACCAAATCAGAGAGTAGGTAAGTACCCTACCTCAGTATCAATTTTACATACATATAAAAACGACTTGAATCGATTTCATATGTACCTAACCACACTAGGTGTGATGATATCAGCTTTCGTCTGCCTGTTAATGAATGACAGCTGAACATGTAACTCGACCACAAAGCGGTTTAAACTAATATCTCCCTGAATAAATTCCGCCTTCTTGATCTTTACAATATATTGATTAGTTGATATATTACACTGTGTGTGTAATCCAGATCCAAGGAAATCGGTTCATCGTACGTTATATCCTGATAGTTATTGTATTAATTGCGGATATCATATCCTCGGTGATAATAGGTTTTCTGTGTTTTTGTGTGTGCTTTAGCAGCTTCTAAAATTGATTGTGTTCTATATCGTAGATTTGGCGTGTATTCGAATTATTCTTATCTATTAATCATCGAGTGAGCATAGTTTCACGCCACTTTCAATAACAATGGAGCAATATAACGACCGGAAATTGCCCTCATGTAACATACGCTATGGTTGGGATTACTTTGGGTCCAGGGGTGCACATGCTCCTTTTGTCCTGAAAGTTTAATTAATAACCATTGAAACCCTCGTGAAAACGGGTGAAATTGAACCTTCTCAAACAGGTGTATCCGCCCCTGCATACACAATCTGGGTGTCGTAAGCCACTCAGCCAACGTAGCATCTACAAAATCGGACTAAAGTCGAACAGGTCGTCTACTCTAGATATCTGACACAGAAATAGTCTTCACACATTGTACCCATAAGCCCTAGCCCTCGAGCGTACACTTTAATAACCGGGCTACACCATGGAAGTTTAAAAATACACGATTATAGCCAAACAGCAAAGCATGCCCCGATTCTACATTCAAATAATCAATACAGTGAACTACTTGAGGGTTTATGTTATTTATTACCACAAACTGTGACAGCGTCTGGTTATGTCAGTGAAGATACGAAACGGCCATGCAATGCAACAAATGCACACTGATATCTGAACTTACATTGTCATTTACAACTTACTTTTATAAGTATCAGTTATTTCAAATGAAACAAATCAACACTTTATGATTGCCAATTTGCAAGGAGTACATCGGTCCGGGAAGAGTGAGTGAGTGAGTTTAGTTTTACGCCGCAGTCAGCAATATTCCAGCTACATGGCGGCGGTCTATAAATAATCGAGTCTAGACCACACAATCCAGTGATGAACAGCATGAGCATCGATCTGCGCAATTGGGAACCGATGACCTGTCTCAACCAAGTCAGCGAGCCTGACCACCCGATCCCGTTAGTCGCCCCTGACGACAAGCATGGGTTACTGAAGATCAATATTCTTACCCGGACCTTTACGGGTCCGGTCCGGGAAGAATCCCCTGCAGGTGGGTGACATCAGTGTCAAAGAAGAACCAGTCTCGACTCTCGAGTATCTTCGGAAAAAACAATGGTCATAAAAAACAAAACAACAGTAGAAAAGTATCTGAACGGAACATCACGTGTTCACGAAAAGGATAAGCATGTCCTGCCCCATTCGTCACCACTCGCCCCTTTCCGTAACCTTTCGGCTTGTCCCGGAATAACACGAGTTGGTCACGAATGGTCCTGCCCTACCGGCAACACCGCCATTCACACAATGTCGTAAAAAGTATGGCGTCACACAGCAGTACTGCCACACAGCAGCTTATAAGAAACGTCTACCTTATGTATCCAAATGAACAAAAAACAAACAGCAATAAGAAGAATATAAACATAAGCCTATCGAGGATCAATCCCACCGTTAACCATTCCCGTCTGAATCTAGCCTCGTATTGACAGTAACCTTGCTCATCTGCCATTGGAACAAGAATGTCTATTATCTCAGTGAGCTTTTCATTCTCCTTCCGGTCCCGTGCGCCCTCTGGTGGAGAATCCACATCGGTTGTCTGCTCTTTAGGAGACATGTCTTCCAGGCGATGTTCGAGAATGACGTGCGGTCGCTTTACTCGGATATCACGAATTTTTGGCACTGCGACGAAGACAAGTCGATTGGCTCCAGAGAACAACCCCTGAGTTATGAGAAGCAGATGATTGAATCAATAAACGCCACGAGGAAAGGCAGATAATATTATGAACTTCAACATCTGGAGATGAAGTGCAGGCAATCTTCCACTAGAACATGTGTACATAAGACTGACATTATATAATGCATGCTCTCATGTCATGAGGTTATACTTTCGAATGGAATATTATTATTTTTATTGCCAACACTTCATAAAAGTACTGTCATAAAGATGTATTTTCTAATATGTTGAACACAAAACTGTCAACATGACTTTAACTATTGCAATGTCTTTGTGCAGCAAAGGTCTCCAAACCACATGGCTGGTGTTGAAAGCATAAACCTATCACACTCGTGCTCCGTTTTGTTTTGTTTTTTTGTTCTTTGTTTAACGCCCCACTCAGCAATATTCTAGCTATAAAGGGTGGTCTGTGAATAATCGAGTCTGGATCAGACAATCCAGTTATCAACATCATGAGCATCGATCTATGCTATTGGGATACGACATGTGTCAACCAAGTCAGCGAGCCTGACCACCCGATCCCGTTAGTCGCTTCTTACGACAAGCATGGGTTGCTGAAGACCAATTCTAACCCTGATGTTCACGGTTTCGTGCTTCGTACGATTTTGATCTCAAACTCTGATAGGGACCCCAAACCAAACCCAAGCAAACCAACAAACAACAACAAAAGATTAAATGTAAAGTTGTGAATCAACCAAAAAAAAACAAAAACAACAACCCAAAAAGCAAAAAACCAAAGAAACCACACAAACAAAAAACATACATACAAACTAAAACAGAAACCAATCATGATATTCACTACTCATGACTTTACTTTTTTCAGAAATACATCTCACATAAAATTGAGGAACACCTAAATCTTTGATGTTGCTATTGTCAACCTGTAGTTACTGACAAATTAACTGGAGCGGTAGAGATATGGCGGTCTTTGGCTGTCCGTGGGGCGATGGGGTAGCCTTGTGGATAAAGCGTAAGCTCGTCACGGCGAAGATCTGGGTTTGATTCCCAACATGGGTACAATGTGTGAAGCCCATTTCTGGTGTGCCCCGCCGTGATATTGGTGGAATATTGCTAAAAGCGGCGTAAAACCAAACTCACTTACTCACTTAAATACGTTTAAATACTGACTCACCCTCTTCAGATATTCCAGCATGGCGGATCTCTTCCCGAGAGCTGTACACAGTTGGAGGTTGGCGATGGACAGGATGAGACAGAGGAAGACCACAGTCAGCGTAAAGTTACAGTAGGACACTGAATGAAACATACAGAAAAGGTTGAGCACGTATATAATATATACTTGTATTTGGAAGCCGTCATGTGTTTTTGACAGGTGATGGCTTCTGCACAAAACAAGTCATTTGGTTGAGTCATATCGTGGTAATTTAATGTTTTACAGCTTATTCTTTGAGACAGAATTTTTACTTGAAGACTTTTCATGGAAATGTGTGTGAGGTGATTTATTTATTAACATAACATTATTTTTGTTACTAAAACAAGTTGTTTTTGTTTTTCTTCTTTAAGCCTAGGTATTATTAGGGATTTTATATATTGCCCAGAAATTCAAAATGGCCGCCAAAATGGCGGCCATTGTAGTTTTACTACATATACTTATCTGATGATATAAATCCAAACAAATCATTTGGTATCTAATATTTGAATGCAGTATTTGATGAAATAACATTATCCAAAAGTGTTTGAAAACTATGCTTCATGGCCGATAACTACGTCTAAGCTTTGGTTGTAGGCATTCAAATTGTTCTATCAGATAACTCTTAATCACTTTTTGATGCATCCATAAGCTTGCAATTAACCCCTCCTTTTCACTTTCTTTCATTTCATATGTTACTTCGTGTCACAATCGACCTGCAGAGATCAGGGTTAAATTGATGTTCAATAACCCATGCTTGTCGTAAGAGGCAACTAACGGGATCAGTTCAGAGGTTGGCGATGGACAGGATGAGACAGAGGAACACCACAGTCAGCGTAAAGTTACAGTAGGACACTGAATGAAACATACAGAAAAGGTTGAGCATGTATATGATATATACTTGTATTTGGAAGCCGTCACACCTGACGTCTTCAAAACATGTTGAACATATCATACAAAATACCTTTTGTTATCAATGATCAATTATTATATATATTACAATACGTAAATTTTACTTTAAGCTAACTGAATTAAACATCTATATCTGAAGACAATAAACAACATTTAAGTCTTCTGATAGTATTTGACATAACTAACTAAAACTGCCTGACGAAAGAATGTATAGACCCATGTTTGATGGTGGTTAAAAGGGAAACGAAACGATTTATTCGATGGTGATGTATGTTTAAATGTATCATATTTGTGTTCTGTACCTTAGGTTCGCAGTGTTTCAGCGATTGTTTCAGCCAAGTATGTTTAAGATGACGTAAGTTTCGGTATGAATCCAATTTCGAGTGGTTTCGTATTTCTTATGCGTCTAAAAGCTTGTGTGACCTCTTTGTGACCAAAGCTCCGAATTGACCCTCTTCAGCACTTGCGCACAAGCAATATTTGTATATATTAACAATAGTGAATATTGTTTATGACATGGAAGAAAATTTCCACCTATTCTGATTCCCGTAAAGATACGGATTGGAATTGGTCTTCAGCAACCAATGCTTGTCGTAAGAGGCGACTTGGTTGACACATGTCATCAGAAGAGTGGACCACCCATGTTCCCTACAAACTAACGATGCTTATGTGCTAACGAACTCGCCATGCTAACTTCTGCATATGGGACATGATTGCGACAGTGAGAATGCGAAAATGAATGTTTGCAGATGTTAATATAAATTCCAGTTAGTGTTATATACCTTACCTACGACAATTGGTAGTTCCATGGCTGGGGCAATATCGTACACCACTATTGCGATCACCGTACCCGTCAGGAACAGTAGAACGTCTGTAAACCAAAGTTGGTCACCTGGATAAATTCTACAAAAATATCCAACCTTATGTGGCGTGTTTAGATGCTCAGTATGTAATAATAATAAGAATCATGAAAATATGTTTAGAAAGTAATAAAAATACGTTTTAAATATAGCGGAACTATGCTATGAACAGTATTTCATTTTTTCGGGACATGTCCTATAATGACAAGTCAATGTGTCAGACCATTGGCATTAAGATGAACTCATGATGCTGGCAAACCACTTTTAATCAGCTGACACCCTTCTTTTGGGGAGTGAGTGAGTGCGTCTTTGCCACTTTCATCAATATTCCAGTCACATCACAGCGTGTCAGTGTAATATGGAAGAAAATCCATCAATGTCCTGATTGTAAATATTTTTTATCCTCACATGCCCATACATTCTTGATCAACATTCCCTATTTGCCCTGCTTGAATAACATTTGTTTGTTATTGTTTTACGCCGCATGCAGCAATATTCCAGCTGTATGGCGGTACTTGAATGATACGTAATGCACACACGACCTACCGACAGTTATTCTTTGGGAAGACTCCAGGGGGATGAGGAACTGGAAGGGCGCCACAAATCCCAGAAAGACCAGTGGTAGAGCAGACACGTCGTTGCTCTTTCCTGTAACGGTTCCGGAACTGCTCTTAACCTTCTTGATGTGTAAGGTGTACACGGCGCTCCCATTACTGGTGTTGCTGGACGTCGCGTTCAAGATATCCCAATCTCCAGACTGCGTGTATTTTTGTAGAATGCCTTGAGCAGTTCCTGGGATGACCTCGATGTCCTGGTCACCATAGACCAAGGATCCGTACTGAATCTTGCACACGTGCAAGTCGTCCTGACTCTCAGTGAAGTCACACAAACTGAAGATACGTCTCCGTCTCGACATGGTGACTTGTCCGTCCCCGCTGATGTGGACTTTGGAAGATTTGATGATGTCCAGGTCAGGCTCAGCACTTTGTGGAAGAAAATAAAACATACCGATGACTGTGGGCAAGGACTTGGGGTCTGGCTATTTTATATTCGTTTGTGGAAATAACAAATAGGATATTTTTGACAGTTACATTCGGTTCATAGATCAAAACAGTTTTGACGTTATTTTTCTTGCAGATCATTCGACCATAAGTTACTGTAATATCAACTCTGTATTGTTTTTGTATAGCCTGTATCTGTATAATTCAGCCGGTACAAAGTTTAATACTAATTTTGTAGTTGTCATTATCCTTACGTGTAATGTATGTATGCGCGCGCGTGTGTAGGTGTGCGAGCGAGAGTATATTTTCACTATTTTCTCTCTAAATTATTTGAGTGAGTGAGTTTACGCCGCACTCAGCAATATTACAGCTACATGGCGGCGGTCTGTAAATAATCGAGTCTGGACCAGACAATCCAGCGATCAACAACATGAACATCGATCTGTGCAATTGGGATACGATGACTTGTGTCAACCAAGTCAGCGAGCCTGACCACCAAATCCCGTTAGTCGACACCTACAACAAGCATGGGTTACTGAAAATCAAATCTAACCCGAATCTTCACGGGTTTTAAATTATTTTAATTAAATTCAGTGATTGGTCATTTCTCCTCCTCCCCCCCCCAAAAAACAACAACACAAAACAACAACAAAAAACAAAACACAAAAAAAAACAACAACAACAACAACAACAACAACAAAAACAAAAACAACAACCGAAACCGACACTGTACGTTGGACATGGTGGTTGTGCTGAAAACTAATCTACGTAATCCTACGTAATGGTGGTATGTTTTTGGAAGTTCTCGCAAAAATCGGTTATCTCTAAAAGTATAATATTTGGGATACAATATGACAATAAAACTTGCAATCAAAATAATAATGAAACATTTTTTTCTCTGATACAAGTCTGTTTAGAACTGGCAGATACAGCTGTAACATGGTGATCTAATTGTGATGATGAATAGCTGATGAGGGGAACATGGTTCGTTGTGTACTCACGCGCTGATCATGCCAATGTCTGGAATCCACACTAAATCCTCAGGTTTAACAAGATTCGTTATGTTGCCATATTCTGAAGGAACCCAATACAACCTGTCGTCAATCCATTGTAGGGTGACGCTTACGCTGAGTGACAAAAGCTGTTTTTCTGCATCCTGAAAATACCACTGAAGTGTCTAGTTACTGAAACTCACATGTGTGAATATGTCATGAGGTATATTTGTTTCAGCGGCTTACAGCCCAAACGATTGTATTTTTTTTGTAAAAGATTTCATACTTACTGGTCACATCATGGTCACTGCTTCATAACAAGCAGACGAAGGCGAATAGTTTAATTTCATTTTTCACAACAATCATGTTTTTATATAACACTTTATCTTAAGGGATAATAGCTAAATTCAATTGTTTTAATACCCGTGAAGATCCGGGCTAGAATTGGTCTTCAGTACCCTATGCTTGTCGTAAGAGGCGACTAACAGGATCGGGTGGTCATGCTCGCTGACTTGGTTGACACATGTCATCGTATCCCAATTGCGTAGAACGATACTCATGCTGTTGATCACTGGATTGTCTGGTCCAGACTCGATTATTTACAGACTGCCGTCATATAGCTGTAATATTGCTGAGTGCAGCTTTAAACTCACTCACTCACTCACTCACTCACTCACTCACTCCTGGCATTGCTGAAGTACGTAACTCAGCACAGAGAATTATCTTAATTGCTCATTGGCGTTTTTGCCCAATGGAATCTGTTTTGTTAGAGCATCATGATTGGTTATTCTCTGTTCTTGACATTGCCATTGAAGTCATTATTACATCAACACTAATCTACTCCAACAGTGAATGAAGTCTGAAAAGCCCTCTCACTCAATTGTTTTAATTGTTTTCAAACATGGCTGTACGGAGTACTCACCACACTCATCCTTTCAACAGAGAGGGAGATGTGGACAGCCAGTGGGCGATCCTTAGGAAATACGTAGTTGCTATAGTTGCTGAACAGATCCGCCGTCAGTCTTTCGCCCATTGCAGGACTTGCTCTAACTGAAGCACAGGACAACAGGTGTCATTGTGTATGCTCGACTACTAGTATATATTAGATCATACGCAATTGCACATTTAATGACTGACTGACTGACTGAGTTTAGTTTTACGCCGCTTTTAGCAATATTCCCGCAATATCACGGCGGGGGACACCAGAAATGGGCTTAACACAACATTGTGCCCATGTGGGGAATCGAACCCGGGTCTTCGGCGTGACGAGCCAACGCTTAAACCACTAGGCTACCCCACCGCCCCGCACATTTAATGATGATTAGAGTTTTTGAAGGTATACTGAATGTAAGTAGAAGCGACAATACATCTACAATACAATGTCTAAGCGTGATATTCTGTCAAAATCATCACTGTATTCAAACAGTATGTGATTGTATAATGCATGCAACTCTAATGTATATGGGCCGGAGGCCTGAAATACAATAAACATCTTTGACTTGACAAAACCCTTTCCACATCCATAAGAAATCTCTGCCACAAGCATAGTAAGACATCTTCGACATCTCGTCAGTGTTCCTTGACAAGGCCATGTTTACAAATGTTTAATGGGAACGGTTCTCAGTGAAGGCTCTTTCAAAAATGTGTGATAAAACGTGAAACGTTTGTGTATTCAGTAGCGACATCTGGATTTGTCCAAAAGGTCCTGGAATGATTTTCATTTCGCTTGCTTTTTATCTCCAACAGATGTGTCCATTGCCACTTTTGAAAGCGAAATCGTTTGATAATGGAATATTGTTCATACTGACAGGAAATCTAGCCAAAGGCAGTCGATCGTCCGATTGCGACTATGTGATAAGCATGTATTTATGAATCACTATAAACTGTTATGAAAGGTTTGTCTGACCTGTGTCAGCTGTGCCATCAGTCAAAGACACGCCCACACACACTCATGTTTAGGTATATGAGTTAGATTGTGAGACAATGTACTTGAGGCACACTCCATTTACATACTTGAGCTACAATGACACATATCATTTGTCATTATAAACTTTGCAAAATATGCCTATCATTTGAACCATATCTTGAGTTTGTATATTGATGCAGACACTCTGTGTACAAGTGACGCCATCCCTTTGTGAATGTGTGATTATATTTCTGTACATATCAAATGTCAACTATGAATTACATTGTCCTGTATGTAAATACTGATGTGTTTTATGTTTGATTGAATTCATGTATCAATAATCTTCGGATTGATTTCTGGAGGAAATAAAGAATCTCCCTCTCTCTCTCCCTCTCTCTCTCTCTCTCTCTGTGTCTCTCTTTCTTTCTCTCTAACGTACATAGAGTACATTGTGATACTATACAAGGGTTACATTATAACATAACGTACATAGAATGCATTGTGAGATAACATACATAGATTAAATTGTAAGATAACATACCTGAATAACATTGTGAGATAACATACTTGAATAACATTGTGAGATAACTTACTTGATGTACATGCCCAGATATTCATTACGAGATGGCTGCATGCATTACATTGTGAGATAACTTACTTGATGTACATGCTCAGATAATCATTACGATATGGCTGCATGCATTACATTGTGAGATAACTTACTTGATGTACATGCTCAGATAATCATTACGAGATGGCTGCATGCATTACATTGTGAGATAACTTACTTGATGTACATGCTCAGATAATCATTACGAGATGGCTGCATGCATTACATTGTGAGATAACTTACTTGATGTACATGCTCAGATAATCATTACGATATGGCTGCATGTACTACATTGTGAGATAACTTACTTGATGTACATGCTCAGATAATCATTACGAGATGGCTGCATGCACTACATTGTGAGATAACTTACTTGATGTACATGCTCAGATAATCATTACGAGATGGCTGCATGCACTACATTGTGAGATAACTTACTTGATGTACATGCCCAGATAATCATTACGAGATGGCTGCATGCACTACATTGTGAGATAACTTACTTGAGGTACATGCCCAGATAATCATTACGATATGGATGTATGCATGTACTATATTGTGAAATAACCTACTTGAGGTACATGCCTTGATAATCAGTACGATATGGATGTATGCATGCACTACATTGTGAGATAACTTACTTGAGGTTCATGCCTTGATAATCATTACGATATGGATGTATGCATGCACTACATATGGATGTGAGATAACTTATAATCTTAACATTGTGAGATAACTTACTTGAGGTACATGCCCAGATAATCATTACGAGATGGCTGCATGCACTACATTGTGAGATAACTTACTTGAGGTACATGCCTTGATAATCATTACGATATGGATGTATGCATGCACTATATTGTGAAATTACCTACTTGATGTACATGCTCAGATAATCATTACGAGATGGCTGCATGCGTTACTGAGATAACTTACTTGAGTTATAATTAGCAACAAGAAGAAACAACGCTGCCAAGTTCATCACCACCATCCTCCTCCGCATCGTCAAGCAGTGTCAGAAACAACGCCCCAGTCCCACTGAACAGTATTAAGTCAGTGCATAGTTTTGTTAGAGAACCTTATTATCCCAGTACAACCATTCCATCAGCCTAATTAAGGTTAATTATTGGTCTGGTTTTTATAATTGTGGCTATTATGTGGTTGCTGTAGTTTCCGATCATTCATGCCAGGAACGTGCGACTTAGAACACATGTGGTAGTGTTTTAATTTCCGGAAATGTATCAAGATCCTTATGGAGCTCATGGGTGGTATCAGAGCAGAGTACACCCCAGTCGAAATAACAGAATCAGGTCATTATAAGGAGTCATCTGGCTCACTGTCGGTATCTCGGGGATTCGTAATATCATCATCTATGATCTTTAGACAATAACTTACTTCTCTAAATATGTGGCTTTTTTTTTTTTATTATACTTCTGTAAGTATGTTGTGTTAACAGAATAACGAACGTTTGTCACTCTCCGAAGCTATTGGAGGAAATAAAGATGATTCATTCACACACACACGCACGCGCACGCACGGACGCACTCACGCACGCACGCACACACACACACACACATACATATACATACATACATACATACATACATACATACATACATACATACATACATACATACATACATACATACATACACATACATACATACATACATACATACATACATACATACATACATACATACATACATACATACATACATACATACATACATACATACATACATACATACATACATACATACATACATACATACATACATACATACATACATACATACATACATACATACATACATACATACATACATACATACATACACACACACATACATACATACATACATACATACATACATACATACATACATACATACATACATACATACATACATACATACATACATACATACATACATACATACATACATACATACATACATACATACATACATACATACATACATATACATACATACATACATACATACATACATACATACATACATACATACATACATACAGACATACATACAGACATACATACATACATACATACATACATACATACATACATACATACATACATACATACAGACAGACGTTTTATGGATAACAATTTCCTTTGTATTCTTTACACGACGTTTCAGAGCTAATTCTTGCTCCTTCATCAGGTGAATGCTGAGTCAGTGCACAGAGTGAATATATGTATGTGTGTGTGTATATATATACAGATGGATGGATGGATGGATGGATGGATAGATAGATAGATAAACATGTTTACACAACGCACCGCATATTTAAACAACGTTATCCATGAAACATGCCATGTATTCATGTTCGTCCAGCTAATAAATGCCTTTCGATTACTTCAAACCGCTCACTTGTTTGATACCACTTTGACATGGATTCAAAATCCTTAATGAGATAAAAGTTTCGCTTTCCTCAAAATCTCAAAATATGAGTAGACGAAACGAGATAGCTGACACATGTATGTTTATCTCAGCTCGGTCAAAATGACTCGGCTTGACAAAACCAGCCTTTTTCTTCAACCATCATCAGCAAGGACGCTTTCATGACATTCTGTAATTCATGAGCTGCAATTTTATGTCATTATTTCGGCGTTAGTCATGGTAGTAATAATGTCAAGTCGGTGGTCTAGCAGTTGTTTCCACTTCAGTCTAGTAAGAACTGAATTCCGTGTATGTAGTCTTAAGGACCGCGTTCTTGGCCTAGTAGAAAATGTGGAAAGTCAGTTGTTCGATTCCCTGGCCACGTCATACCAACATACATTAAAAGATGGTACTTATTATTACCCTGTCTGTGCTCGTCACATAAAAGATAAGAACACTTGTCTTTCCTGGAGTCAATATACTCTGACTGAGTGGGTTATTCAAGTTGAGTGTATGAGTGAGTGAGTTTAGTTTTACGCCGCACTCAGCAATATTGCAGCTATATGGCGGACTGTAAATAATCGAGTCTGGACCAGACAATACAGTGATCAAAAGCATACGCAATTGGGATACGCTGACATGTGTCAGCTAAGTCAGCGAGCCTGACCACCCGATCCCGTTCTAACCCGGATCTTCACGGGTTGTTAAGCTGAGGAGAAGCGTCTCACTTGTCAGCACTGTATAAGCGGACTTAATATTGGCAACTGACACTATTGCTCTAAAACAAAGGAACTGATAATTGACTTTCGGAGTAAACCCACAGAAATGCTTCCAGTGATAATCAACATTGAATGTGTTGAGACAGTGTCGGAGTATAAGTATTTGGGAACCTTCATTGACGCTAAGCTGAACTGGAACTCTAACACTGAAGCCCTATACAAAAAAGTGCCAACAGCGTCTTCATCTCATGCGTAAACTGAGATCTTTTAATGTTAACCCATCTGTGATGTCATCTTTTTATGTAGCATTTATTCAGAGTATTTTAACATTTTCCTTCCATTGTTGGTACGGGTCTCTCTCACTTCATCTCAAATCTAAAATAGACAAAACTGTTAACACTGCAAGTAAAATCGCTGGAGTCAGATTTAAATGTTTATCATCAATATATGAGCGGCAAATCGTGAATTGAGCTGTCAAAATCATATCTGACCGTACTCACTACTTAAATTCGGAATACAACCTCCTCCCTTCAGGCCGCCGCTACAAAGTTCCAACTGTGAAAACTAAGAGAGCCCGTACATCCTTTATTCCAAGTACCATATTTCTCTTAATCAAATGTGAAGATACCTAAATCAAAGAATTTATATAAATATGTTTGGTATCTCTCTAATGTGTCAGTAGCTCTGCTGATGTAACATAAATTCCTGAAAAGGCATTAAAGTATTAATGAAGACTCGTGTTCTATTCCCCACATGCGTGCAATATGTGAAGCCCATTTCTGGTGTCCCCGCCGCGATATTGCTGGATTATTGCTAAACGCGGCGTAAAACAGTACTCACTCACTCAAATAGTGATGATACAAAAGGTGAACTTATCCTGCTCCGCCAGTGGCACCAACACATCAGCGTATTGATCTCTAATATACCTGCAAAACACACATGGTACAAGTCAAAATAGTTAAATGTACCGGATATCATTTTTTGGTACTGACGGTTATGTTTGGAAATGTCCTTCTCATGTGTACCATAAAACTCTTGGTAAGTTTTGCTGCAGTGTTGAATACTGTATTCCTAATCAAACAACTTTCGAGCAAGAGTACTAGTCGTATGAGACTCTTTAACATATTCCTATACAAATACTTTAATGTACCTAAAAATTATAACAAAAAACTGAGGCTGCAGGAATTTTATTGTCTCGCCAGGTTCTCATTTTACCAAGTAAACCTCTACAGGCAGTTTCGCGGGCATTATCCAAGATATCCCGGGGATTTTCAGAGGAATAGCCCTTGACTTTGAATTCTTTTACTTGTACAATTGTAAAATATCACATTATTGAAAACTGCTAATATACTCATGCCAATAATGGTTGTCACCCCTTCAATTTTTGTGCCATTATGTGGGGTGGGAAGGGGGTGATAACCATTATTGGCATGGGTATACATTGTGCTCATGCCTGGTTTCGAACCTGCAACCTTTCGCTTACTAGCTTGGCGGTTTTCATCGGCCCTCTCCAATTTCCCTCTGCCGCGGGCTTACTTTTTTTATCCTTCACATATTGCTCAAAGCAGAGGGATACGTGATCTATGGCAATGATAGCTTAATTGTATAACACTGAAGCCTTGTGTAATCCTTAATGTTAAAAAGGCTTTGATTAAACGTCTTACATTTCAAATAAAGGCAAACAAATTGTTTTGCTAGCGGAAATAATGTTTTTTACACATATTTACTAGATATGTTGTTTTCTACAAAATTACGATATCGTCCTCTGAAAAACGACACATTAATGTCATATTACTTCAAATATATACTGGTCCGCCTCCATGGTGTAGTGGTTAGAGCGTCCGCCCGGAGAGCGGAAGGTCGCGGGTTCGATCCCCGACCGCGTCATACCAAAAGACGTTAACATATGGTACTTGTTGGTCCCTGCCTGGCGCTCGGCATTAATGGGTACAACAAGGACTGGTCGGCTCGGAGTCAGTATACTGTGTCTGAGTGGGGTATTCATGCTTCACTGCGGCATGGTATCTCAGTGGGCTAGCACTATAAAACCAGCTTCCGTCTGGGCTAGTACAAGCAGCCGCACATACACATACACACGCATGCACGTCGTCATATGAGCGAAATATTCTCCAGCACGACGTTAAACCCAATTTTACTTCACCTCACCTCAAATATATACTTTATACCTTATAACAAAACACGACACTTTATAACAGACCTTGTAGTTACCACTGCAGTTTAAGTTTAGCCGCGCTGGGTTCTAATGACCAAGAAACACGTCATCAATTTGATGCGACAAGCGGTTGGCGGCAGAGCTAAATGAGACCAGTTTGTGGTAAGCTATACCTGAACCGAACGTAGGAGTTCCTGAACAATTAATGAGGTAAATCCATTCAGAGTGTATTTACATATATCACGTTATTACCTATTCAATACATATCTAGTTACGACAAGATCAAAGTGTTAATTGTGTGTTGCCTGCACACATATATCCCATTATCTCCAATCAGGCTTAACGGATGATTCGATTGAATACACACATAAATATATTAACACATGCTGCAGAACGAGGAATGATGCGTGTCTCGTGCCACAGAGTGCAGTTAAAGCAGAGCGTGTGAGTAGCTTAATGTTTCATAGCTTGTTTAAACTTAAATACACTACAGGGAAAACGGAAGTATACACTATAGATTTCACGAAAAGTGCGATATTATCTAACGTTACTAGGCTGGAAACAGTCACCTTGACTAAGGTTCAATACAGCACTGTTGTCCCAGTATCTAATACATCACATCAAATTCTTGTCAAATTCATTGGTGTATGCTTTCTTTTGATGTATATTTACATTCCCGACTATATGTCTTTGTCCTCGACTACTTCATCACATTGTGTGTGTATGTTTT